AGTTGATGCGCATCTGACCTTGATTGACTCGCTCGACTCTGACGTGGTCGCACGTCGGCCTGCTGTTTGCGCCTTGATCACACCAATCAGACCGACAACGACATCCAAACCGCCGCCATGGTCATGGTGCTCATCACTACCATCTTGCGGACTTTGGTTGGCACGCTCTGGCCGGCTTACATGTCCTTCAAAACCATCGTCACAAAGGATACCCAGGCCTACGTGAGTCTCGTTGCCAACTTGCCCACTTGTCTCTTTCCTCGGCTTGTCGAGCGCACAGACTGCTTCAGAAGGACGTCCTGGATCGTGCACCCATTCATCCTTCCTGATGCTCTCATAGATTCATTGGATGAAGTATTGGGTATGCTTCAGCCTCTTTACCGTTTGTGAGCTCGTCGCTGACCTCATCATTTGGTGGTACGTTGATGCTGAGCCTGACCAGTGGCACCAGTGGCTGGCGCCTTGTCCCCGGCACCTGTTCCCACGCTCGGTGGCTCACGCACCCACGGCATCCTTCCGGTGCATAGGATTCCGTTTTACTACGAAGCCAAGCTCCTACTCTTGGCATTCTTGCTCATTCCCCAATTTCACGTCTGTTCCTTGCTCGTCCCCCTCCCCGCCTCCTTCTTTGCCGCTCTTTTTTCCGCTCTTTTTCCCGCTCAATCATCGGACGTCGCACCTCGGGTTTCGCGGTCCTTTTCCCTTTTTTTTTCCAAGGGCCCCGAATACATTTTCAAGACCGTCATTCGCCCCACGCTGCGCCACCACGAAAGCACCATTGACAAGGTCATCGAACAGCTCAACTCGGTTCGTACTGGCATCATCTCCCTGCGCTCAACTCTCAGAGCCACATCTGAGCTTTTCGCCCCCTCTCGCTGACCTCACTCGTATCTGTCCTGTCTCTTTGGTCCTTGCAGCACGTGTACGCCACCATGGTCAATGGTATCTCAGCCGTGCGTTACAAAGCCATGGAGATCATGTTGGGCCCGAGTGCCGCCGCCCCCGCTACTCCCGTTGAGGAGGAAGATGAGGACGACATGATGACGCCTGTTAGACCCCCGCAAGACGCCAAGCGTTTATAGACCAGCAACCTGTAGCCACATCTTTACGAGGCACGGCTGCGTTGCTCGTGCCTCTCGCCTGTTCTGCCTGTCTTTTTGTTCGTGCCTGTATCCGCCCATTCGAAACGCCAATGCAATCCACTTGCTCGCTGATCAGCCGCTCCGGCCTTCTGCTCCTGTACATGAACATCGAGATCGGCTTGTCTTTGGTCTGAGGTTGCATTGACATGTGAAGAAGACATCACAACTCGTGCTGTGTCGTGAATGTTTAGGGGTCGCTTTTCTCACAATCAAAAAAGTAACGAGCATCCATTTCCTTGGTATTTGGAACTCGACGATAGGCGTGGTAAGATGGGCAAGTGAGCGGGGTTGCAGACAAAGGGTCGATTTGCATCGGTTTGGTGAATGTCGCGACTATCTCATCGCAACAAGGACCCCTGCCAAGACGGAATTATAATCTTCCGCGTCCGAAAAAAAAAAAAACATACAAAAATAGCAAGAAAAATGCGGAAAATTGATGTTTTAATCAACTGTGAGGCATCGTTGCACGTTCGGGTGAGCACAACTTCGAGGCAGGGACCTGCGAGATCAGTTATTCATTCCGCACGCACAAAGCTCAATGGCCCATAGCGGCGACCGAGAGAGACAGCGAGAGACAGCGAGAGACAGCGAAGAGACAGCGAGAGACAGCGAAGAGACAGCGAGAGACAGAGACAGCGAGAGACAGCGAAGAGACAGAGAAAACAAAATATTCACACACTTATTGTTGTTAAGCACACACAGACACACACACACACACACACACACACAACTTTTTATCTTATTTTTTTTTGAAAAAGTTTCAATTGTGACGCTCACTCCGACCTTTTCTTACCCGACGTCCCGCTCGGTACCTCGCTGCTACTGCTACTACTGCTGCTGCTGCTGCTGCTGCTGCTGCTGCTGCTGTTGCCACCGATGGAGGTGTGTGTATGTGTGTGCGCGCGCGTGTGCGTGGGCGTGCGGGCGTACTCGTCTAGGGGGCTTGGTGCAGCGACGTGCCTGTATGTGTCACTCACCGACGTGGACCCATCGCCACATTTTTCATGGGTTGTTGGGATGTGCGGCAGGTAGAAGCCAGCAGTGTACCGGTCGGTCCCCGATCGGACATTGCAGTTGTGGTGCGAATGAGCCAGCAACGCTGAGCGTGTTGGCCAGTCTGTATGCCAGTTTGACCACCGGTGCTTGTTTGAGGGAGGACCAACATCACCTCACTCCATGCACCTCAACTAGGCTTCAGAGAAGGGTGCAGCTGGGCAGCCCAAGGATCGCGCTGCTTTGACCTCCCCTCCCAACAGCTGGTCTGGTCAAAACTCCCCAGCAACCTTGGAAACCTCTTCCTTTTTGACCCCCGATCATGGCAGCTGCAGATGCTGACGGTACAGAGGTGCCACCCCCTGGCCCCTTGGAGTCTGCGGCCACATTGCAGCGCGCGACAGGGTCTGCCACAGCCCAGCGTCCGCGGCGCAGCCAAGCTGCCGTGCTCATGCGCACGAGTGCGGCTGCCCATGACGCTCCACTGGTGCCATCTCCACCTCGAGCAGAAAGCGCAACATCTGCTCGGCCCCGTTCGTCGGCAGCTGCGCGCACACGTCAACGCAGCCATCCAAACCTACCAGGAACGCGCAGCCTTGCCAACTCTGAAGAGAACCCTCTGGAAACTCGGTGTCTTGACACTGCCAAGAGTCTTCCAAGCAGCCCCCGCCCTCCGAGCCATGCCCCAGGTCGTCGTCATCCCAATCCACGCCGCTCGTCTAATTTTGGCAGCTCTGCCAGTAGTACGCAAGACTCTCCGGTGGTGCCTCGCCCTAGCTCGCGCGCCAAGTTGAAACGACCCACCGACTCTCATGTTCCGAGCCAAGACATCAAACCCCAGCCTTCTTCTGAAGAAGCTCAGCGCAGTGAAGCGATGCTAACACCCACAAGCCCGGCCGATGAAGAAGTTGCAACGCATCTTTTGAGTGACGACGGAATGCAGGCTGATGTTGATGACGAGGTGGACATGGAGGAGCATCGTGCGCATGCCCGTGCCAGTGCTCCAGCTCACACCCTCCGGCACACACGTACCTCACTCTCACCCTCCACCATTGCGGAGCATCGGGTTTCAGCACCCTTCCTCCGCACTTCGCAAGCTCCCAGCCGTGGGGCCAGCTCACCACACGCCGTCTCTCCCAGCGAGACAGAGCACGCCCCGATTCATCGACCATTGTCTGCAAGAGGACGTCGCAGGGTGGCCCGATCAGCTATCGTCTCTCGCCGTGAGCAAGAACAGCACGAACTGGCGACGCGCGGCACCACTGATGATGACGAGACAGCCGCAGGCGAGGACAGTGGCACCTCTTGGCGGCACAGTTCTGGTGACTTTGCTGCCATCCTGTCGCGGCATCAGCCCAGAATTCAATCATCGCGCATGAGCAACCCGACACACTCGGGTGGCAGTATTCACAGCATGTCAAGTATCGACTCCACCCCTTCGCGGCGAAATAGTCTCATGGACACGGCACGACACTCTTCTCGCAATTTGCTTGACGTGGCAGCTCCATTCTCTTCAACCGCAACGAGTCTGGTACGATTCACTGTCTGGGACATGGTTCGATTTAAAAGCAGACAAAGAGATGGATGTGCCTTGGCCTTCGTTTTCAGCCCCTCATAACCACAAGAATATCTAATAGGATGGTCACTGGGATCGAGAGTCCCCAGAGGGTCAGCGACTCTACATTCCCCGAGGGTTTGAGTACGTTGGGTTGGGCCCGATAGGTGCATCGCCGTGATGATGCCCCCGAGCCGAGGGCGCCGTGCACGTCGTTCAACTCATACACTTGCGCCATTTTGCACAGCTGGGCTCGGCAATTCTTCAACCTTCCCGATGCCTTTGAATATGTGCGTTGAGTGTCTGCCTGCACCCATCTGTCGCACCTGCTCCGCATGATCGTCTGTCGTCATTCCCGTTCACGCACAACCTTGTGCACGACTAGGCGGATGAGGCCGATTCAGAAGCAGCCCCCTCGTCCCACCTGACTTTGTTACAAAAGAGCTGGCTGCAAGCACCTGGCCCGTCGGTACTCAGTCTTGGCTTTCGTGTCATCGATGCAACCTTGTCGAGCGACGCCGTCCAAAAGGTATAGTAGCTTTTTGCTCTGAACAATGTTGATTTCTTTCACTGCAGTTACGTTTTTTAGCTCACTCTGCCACAAACGCACAGGCTTGCAAGACGGTGGAGCAACATTCACAGCTTGCCACGGTTTTCGTTCAAGCCGTCAAAGACAGCAAGGACGCCTCAAACGTATCATTTCAGCAACCCTTTGTTTTTGAGTGCCAGGTCCGCCCTTGCTGCCGAGCATCGTTCTTGCTCAAGTTCAGTAGCCCCTCTCCGTTCGACTAAGAATTTTCTGCGATTCGGGTGTTGTTAGACGGTGCCGTCAGACTTGGAGCTAGCACGCCAGGCCGGTGCACTCATGAGTGAGCGTGCCGGCACCAACGCGGCTCTACACTGCATGCTACTCGAAAGCGGGGATGGGAGTCAAATTCTCTTGCTACGAGCCCACCCAGCCGCGATGGATTGGTTCTCCCTGGCCGTTTACATGCGTGATCTATGTGCCACCATTCTTGGTACGCCACCAGCTCCATGTCCGCACGCTTTCGACTTTACCGATCGTCCGACCAGTGATCTCTCTTCAAATGATTTGTGTCGTCGCTCCAAGCTTCCCTCTTTGTTATGCTTGGCATCTTTGGGGCTCACCGTTGTGCCATTACACACTTGCAGCTCCTGCAACGGAGGCACTTGAGGCCGAGCTGGAGATGCCGGGCAATGCCCTTTCCTTTGCCAGTTACATGCACCTTGAAGCCGTTGCTTTCGACTCAATGGACGATGTGGCCCAGCTCCTGGAGGATGCTCAGACCCAGATGGTGCACGAGAACACTCATCAAGGTGCGCCGGTTTGCGTACATGTTGACCTTGCTCGCTGTTGCTTGCTCACGATGCATACGGGTGTTTTGTTTTGGGGGCTGGCATCCAGGTGGTCAACGGGAGCGAGAGCTGCGCCTGCTACCACCGCCGCGCTTCTATCTGGGGCTTCGGGGGTCACACCACGTCGTCACGAGCCGCTCTCGCCTCAGCCGCAACGCCCTCATAAACTATGAAGTCCTGTTTGTTCCACCGGATGACTGTCAAGTGGAAGAGCAATCCTACCGTCCTGTTCTCTGTGGCGCATCGCTGGCCCTGGTGGCCGCCTACCTCACGCAGCAAGACCGATTCTCTTTTTGCGTGGATATCAGCATGCGCGAGTGCCACCCGGATCAGCTGGCAACGGTTCTGGGGCCCTTTGGTCATATCGTGCCATTGGGTATCCAGTTACCCCTACACGAGACGTTTTCAGATCTCTTTGTCGAGATTGGGCATCAGCTCGAGTCAAGCTGGCTTTTGGCGAGCTGCCCCACCCCGCGAGCGATTCACCCTTTGGTGAATAACGGTCTAGAGGTACGTGCACCCCCACAATGCGTATTGTATGCTGTCTACTTGCTCCGCCTCCAAAATCATGTTTCGACTCGCTGCATCGGCCACGCTGATGGCATGGAAATACCTTTCCCGTCCCCCTGCCTTCTTCCACTCTCTGTTGGTGTCGCAGTTTCGATATTTGACGCTGGCGCAAGCTGATCGCCTCACGCTGCCAAGCTTGGGGGCGGATCCTTCCATGTGGCTTAATCTGGATGAGGCCCGGCACATGACGGCAGGCAATGTCACGCTACGTCCCTTGCCCATTGCCACGCCGGTCTCTCATCCGGCTTCTGTTCGCGTGACCTTCTGGGAGACCATGTTGGATGGTGAAGTGGCCGTGATGATGGATGTGAGCAGTCGCTGCACCAATGATGCCGATGGTCGACGTGTTGTGGCTGAGACGGAGCGTCTGTTTCACGTTGTTCTGCGCGAGGCAGCGCGTGAGCCACACGTGTTGCTCAGCAAGGTCAAGGGTCGTTTACACAAGGCACAACTCAAGGCGCGTGGCCGGCAGGCAGGGGCTTCGTGAGCGCGCTGATCACTGGCTGAGCAAAGCTTGACTGCACCTCTCGGGGCAAAGAGCATGCTTGGGGCTTGATATTTTGATCAATGTGCGTTTTTCATCCTACGACATGTACCATGTGCAATTTTTATATATGTTTGTGTTGAAGTGGGCAGGCATTGCCCCTTTTGGGTTTCATCTTTAAGACTGTCTAGTATCCTTTGTTCGGTTCGACGATCTGACGCTGCGCCGAGTTGAGTCTGTGATTAGTCCAGATAGCTACCAAAGTGTTTATGGGTCTGATTGTGATGCACTCCATGGGACGATTAAGTTGACTTCACTTGACATGGCATGTGGCTGTGCTTCTTTGTGTATTCTGATGGCGGGTCCATTGCCACTCGCATGCATGGGTCAGTTTTGATATGAATCAGCAGGCGTGATACGCAAGCACCATGCTTGCTAGGCACTATGTGGAAGGCTGGGTGCTTTGTGGTCGTGTCGTTGATTAAGAAAGCTATGCAAAGAGTAAAAAACACAGAAGCAGATTCAGTGGCGGAAGAGGCCAGCGAGTCTTTCCAGCATCTGAACGTGACTGTGTCTGAGCCAAGTGGTATCAAAGGTCAGCAGCATTCTGGAGCGGAGCAGACCATGCCAGGAAGACTTGCTCAAGGCGTAGGCACGCGAGCAGTCACTTGGAAAATGCGCGGCAACGAGATGAGAGCATCTGGGCGATGTTCTAGTTCGCGAAGTTGGTGATCCAGTTCTGCAAGCTCGGACTCTGATGCGAGATCGTGCGCCAGGACTTGGTTGCGAATGTCTTGCAGGGAGGCACGAGCCACGGCACGACCCTCATCTGCGTGTGTGAATACGGGTTGGACGACGCGCACGCGTGCATCCACAAAACCCGCTTCCTTGACCATGCTATAAAGCTTGGGGCCGATCAATGGATGCCCCTTGAGCTGGGCGCTAATGGCTGTGCAGCAAGACGAGGAAGGGGCACAGGAGTGTTGAGATACCAGTTTTGGGCTTGACCCGCGAGATGGATAGCTGGGGCAGCATGAGTAGGCAGCGGACCTGTGTGAAGCTCCTTGTAGCGATCAAAGGCGGGGCTACTTGGGTAGCAGAACGAAGAGCTGTAGTCCACGTCTTCGACGAGGATGCGACCGCCGGGCCAGAGGAGCTCTTTGCAAGTCTCCAAGGATGCCAGGGGCTCGGGTACGTAGGAGAAGAGGAGGCGCGAATAGACCTGGTGCATGTGGCGCAGTGACCACGGGGGAAACAGGCGGATGCATCATTGGGCAGATGAGTCGGCTCGTGCCCAAGTTGCTGTTACTGATCATGGGGTGAATGCCGGAGAAGGTCTGGGGCCGGGAACAAATCGCACCAGGTCGAAGCGTTTGTTGGCAAGCTCAGCCATGTTATTTGGGATTTCGGCCTTGAGGAATGAGACGCGAGCCATGGCATCCTCATCCCGATTCTGCTGTACATAGGCGGCGGCGCTTTCGAGAGCTTTGGCGCTTGTATCCACACCAGTGATTCGGCCAACGCGGCCCACAAAACTGGCAAGTCCTGTCGCAAATTGACAAGGAGCACCCACACCATCCGTGAGTCACCAGCAGGGCTGTGGGGAGTGGATGGGCTGCGCTGCGGACAAGACATACCAAGCGTGGCGTGACCATTGCCGCAGCCAAGATCAAGGACACGGTTGCCGCGCTGTAGCTCGGCCCACTGAAGTGCATTGCGAGTGGTGGGCCAGAGCAGTCGCGAGAAAAAGGCCAGGCGCTGGACCTTGTCGATGAGCGCAACGCCTTCCGATGCGGCCTACCAGCGGAGAGGGTAGATGAGAGACAGAGGCGGATGCCGAGGTGCATGCGAGGATCGAGGCCACGTACCATGTTTAGTGTGTTTCGAGGCAAGGCCCCAAGGCTCTATCTCTATTTTGAGCTGTCCGAGTGCGCGAGACTGCGAGGGTGGGCAGCTTTGATACCAAGGGACCGACAGAGGCACGTGAGGGTCACAGCTCGCTCTCACAATGTGTGCGGATGGCATCTGCCTCCCCGCAACCCCTGTTACTGGTTGATCCGAGAAAAAAAAGTTTCAAGCTGACGGCCACGTGAATACCCCAGCGAGCTGCGGGGACGGCCATCGTCTGGCAGCCGCGCGCGGGCGAATGGGACCAAGTTACTGGCACGATGGCAGCTCGACCACGCTGCAGCGCACTCACGATCACAAAACCAAAACTACACAAACTCTACATTTAACAGCAAAAGCCCTTGGTAAAATCATGTTAATATACCTTGTAAAAATTTAAAATCTTCTTAAAGTAAGAAATTAACGTTATCAACCCGTTGAACGACCCCCTTGCGAAATAATTTGATATCAAAACAGAGAGAGAGAGAGAGAGAAAAGAGAGAGAGAGAGAGAGAATTTTAAAAGAGAGAGAGAGAGAGAGAGAGAGAGAGAGAGAGAGAGAGAGAGAGAGAGAGAGAGAGAGAGAGAGAGAGAGAGGGAATTTTGAGAGAGAGAGAGGGAATTTTGAGAGAGAGAGAGAGAGAGAGTTTTTGAGAGAGAGAGAGAGAGAGACCGCGTGTGTGAGCTCTCGCTGGTGAAGGAAAGATGGCAGCACGGGTGGGAGCACGGGTGGGAGCACAGGCGCCGCGGCGGGCTTTTCTGTTTGATTGTGATGGGACGTTGGTGCACACGGATCACATTCACTTTCATGCCTGGCGGGACATGCTGGCCACGCTGGGTGTGACCCTGGCCGAGCCGGATTATGTGACCATTGCTGGTCGGCAAAACCCGCCTGTCCTTCGCGGTCGGTCCAACTGCCCTGGTTTGCTGCCTTTGTTATCAGCCAGGGGTGTACGTTGGGGCGCGAGGCTCCCATGCCGGGCCTTGCAAAAACCTGATTGTAACCTGACGCTTTGTGCTGCCTGCCTGCCTGCCTGCCTGCCTGCCTGCCTGCCTGCCTGCCTGCCTGCCTGCCTGCCTGCCTGCCTGCCTGCCTGCCTGCCTGCCTGCCTGCCTGCCTGCCTGCCTGCCTGCCTGCCTGCCACTAGAAATGTTTCCGGACATGCCCGAGGAAGACATTCAGGCGTATTCATTGGAAAAGGAGAATCGCTTTCGCGAGTTGGCCAAGACAGAGGTGATTCCTGTTGAGGGCGCCATTGAGCTTCTCCGGGAGCTGGAGCGTCACAACATGCCAAAGGCTCTGGTTACCAATGCCCCACGGTCTGTTTGGACTTGAAGCCCAGGGACTTGCCTACGCACGCACCCGTACCCACAAGAGAGACCACCCGGCTGGCCAGCTCAATGCAGCCCTCGTTTGTTGTAGAGCCAACGTTGACTTTATGCTGGAGGCTGGAGGCTTGTTACCCTTCTTCCCTCGTACGCACCAGATCTTGGGCGACGAGTGCGCACGTGGCAAACCTCATCCTGACCCTTACCTGGCGGGCCTCCAACTATGCCAGGCTGATGCAGCCACCAGCATTGCTTTCGAGGATTCTCCCGCTGGTGGGTAGACGGCTGAGAGCCCCCACACTATTTGGCATGTTTTGTCTGAACCACTGGCTTGGCCCACATGCCTCTCTCACATGCATTCGCAAACGGGTCTTGACCGCAGGCGCTGCGGCGGCCATTGCTGCCCAGATTCCCACCGTGGGCCTGCTGACCACTCAAACAGATGACGTGATGCGGGATGCGGGATGCTTCATCACCGCGCGTGATTTTGCCTCCGGGTAAGTAAGCTGCACTTTTGTGCATCAAGTGGCGCTGATCTAGACGCAAGGATTGTGATATAGAGAGAGAGAGAGAGGGAGAGAGAGGGAGAGCTTTTGGAGGGGTACTAGACAGAGACGGTTTGACAATTTCGATATGATTCACAAAGGAGGCGCAGCCCCCGGTTGCTGTTCGCTGCTGCCTATCAACCAACTCATGAGGCCTTGATCATCTCGCATGCTCCTCCTGTACAGCTCGTTGCTGGAACATTTACGGTCAGAAGGCCTTTTGCCCTAAGCCCAGCGGGCACGTGGCTCGTGTCTACCTTGTTTTGGTGGTTGAGAAGGACTCTTGGACACGGCCGGCCTGTCGACCAAAAGCATGCCGCCGTTGGCTCAGCTCAGCAGATTGGTGGATAGAGATCAAAGGTTAGGCGCGTCGGCAGGTGCGAGCTGCCCATTCCGGTTCGCCTGCCTCGGCCTTGCGCAACTCCGTGCCGTCATAATTGAAGACAACCTTGGCTTCAGGGTCCAAATAGCCATCCCCAACATCATACATGCCCTTGGGAATGACAGCTGCTTGGCCAGAGTCACGCTGGCGACTGCGACCTATGGACGCGCCGAGACATCAGCTCCCCGCGCGCTTCATACAATACCATGGCGTAGAGAGGAGAGAGGGGTTGAAGTAGTGCTACCTCAATCAGTTGGCTTGAGGGTGTGGCAACGTACCGGCAGGTTCAATGCCATGCAGTAGTTCCTGATAAAAGCGCCGATCGTCTCCATTGCAATACTCCCATTCCCGTTCCAGGTACTGCAGGCCGTCCTTGAAAGTGTATGACCCCTGTCGAGACGAGCGTTGATATTGTTGGCAAAAACAGACACGTGACGACGCGATGAAGCAGCTCACATCTGTGGGAGCTGAGCAACGCAGCACCATCCGACATCATGGACCATGTGCGACAGCAGTTGAAAGCACAGACCTGCGCGTGGCCCTCGCCTACAGCCTTGCCCTCACGCCACTCGGCGGCGAAAGTGGCGCCGTTGGAAAAGTGGAGCACGCCCTGTCCATGAAACCTAAAACGTTCAGGGACGCAGGGCACACGTTGTGGCAACAACACAGCTGGGGTCAGCTTGCTGTGCGAAAATCGTCAAGCTGTCTCTTGCCTCAGCCTAGGCCGGGTCGCAACGCCTGACAGCAGACGAGAGCGCTACCACACGGTTAAATGAAACGAACATGCCATCCTTCATCTCGCCGATGTATCGGGTGCCATTGGCAAATGTATAGGTGCCTGCGCCCTCGAGCCTAATCCACAGCCCGCATGAATCACCGAGACGCCAAGACACGGGGCCTCACACGAGCGTGCGCTTTATTGAGGACGCACCGATTGTTTTTGGTGTCACCTTCGTAACTGCTCCCTTGGGGAAGGAGACAGAGACGCACAAAGACCAGGACATGTGAGCCGTGTCTCCACATGGAACATGAGGAAAAGCAGCACAGTCATAGGTGCGGAAACTGCGCTGGTGCTTTCGACGACCACGCGGCATCTTACCAGTATACTCCATCCTCGATGGTGTGATGTGCAGACCGGCCGGGTTCAGGCTGAGCCCCGGCAACCTGGCAAGACAAGTAGCATACCGTGAAAAAAACCGAGAAAAACACAAAGAACGTCAATCTCCCAACAAAGCAGCTGCATTCGCCCGATCGAGCCCATGTCTGAGCAAGGCCCCACCTTCCACCTGACCGAACCAGGCCCCTCCAGCTCTCGATCCCGGCTGCCATTGGCTGCCTTTTCACCCACTTTCGTACCTTTTGTTGTCGCTGCACCCAGACGTTGTCAAGGAAGAGAAATACACCACCTCTCACTGCATTCGTCCTCTGGACTGCTACCGTTATTGTCAGCATTTTCACACACACACACACACACACGCACACACACACACACACACACACACACACACGCACACACACACACACACACGCACACACACACACACACACACACACACACACACACACACACACACACACACACACACACACATACACACACACACACACACACACACACAAGCACACACACACACACACACACAAGCACACACACAAATTAAAAGTGCCGAATGTGTGTGTGTGTGCGCTGGCTGGGGGTCGGGGTTGACTTGACTTGACTGGCGGTGTGGGTCGTGGTCCTTGGAGAAAAGAGTGTGAGCGTTGGCTGGATTTGTTCAAAGGAGGGGGTTGAGTTGGGTTGGACCCGGGGCCTGGCGATGGTGGGTCGGGGGTGATCCTTGAACGAAAGGCTCAGCATGGCGAACAGCAGAGTTGAGGATGCCAAGGTGGGTGGTCGACTTCTTTTCTTAACATGGCCGGGGCGGGTCATGCCGCATGAAATACGGTCACGAGCTGATGGCTGCATTGTTTCAACTGCGGTCTGTTTCATGGTGGTTGATTGGTTGGTACAGGAGTGCCCGGGTTGCGACGGTATCTCCAACCCGCCGAATGCAACTCCCATTGAGGATCTAGAGGAACTCAAACAGGTAGGTGGCGGCACAGGTTGCACAGGATGCACGAGCTGTTTTATCAGATCCAGTGGGGGAGAGTTTCACGGGGGGTCTTCTCTTTCCGGGGCTTACATGACCTTTCTTTGCTCGCTGTCGCTGCACCGCTACGTCCGAGTCAGCCTGCCCGAGACAGGCGCATCTTCTATTCCAAAATCAAGCTCTTTAATAAGTTTATCATCAAGAAAGGCGTAGGTCGCCAAAACCGACGCCTCGAGCTTCTCATAGAACACTCCTCCACTTGACGCATGCCCCCAACTGATCCATCTTTCTGTCGAAACCCCAATTAGGACTTCTGTATCGTCAAATATTTGGCCGACGATGGGGCTGGTTTGCGATGCGCGAGGCATCAGCTACGCACAGATGAAGCAGTTGTGCGCATTAGCGAAATGTGGCGTTGTTCAAAACACAGCACGCAGGTCGCCGCGGTGAGGCTCATCCAACCTTGCTCTCTTAGCCGGCATCTCATCCTGGTCGCCTCGAACTTTTCTTCCCTTCTTTTGATCTGACTCGCTCGTGGGCTGCCGTCATCAGGTGGAATGGCTATATTACCAGTCGGAGCTTCCAAAGTGGGCTCGGCGAACAGACCCGGCAAGGTCAATGGAGCTCAATGACATGGCTCTTTTTCGTCAAGATTGGCAAGAGGCCGACCGCATTTCTCTCTATGCCATCTTAGACCGGTTCGTGCTTGGATTTGGCTTCCAAGCCTTTGCTCTGGCTAGCCTGCTTGCATCATTTGGCCCCCCATGCCACCCGATACCTCACTGGGCTCTCCACGCTATACCATCACCACCCTGCTGTGGTGCCACCAAAACTCGTTTGCACGACTCTATGCTTAGCTGCGTCACAGAGACACACTACGCCAAGAGTTGGGGCGGACAGCCTCGGCATTCAACCCCCAAACACAAATTTCGCGAGGTATGCCTGTTATTGCGGTGCTTCATGTCTGTCTCGTTCCTTACGTTGGTGGACCAGCAAGACTCAGCATTTCTCTTGGGTCATTCGATTTTATGCAGGTGACATACATGGCGGAAGTCAATGCTCGACGCCGCCATGTGCAGCCGTGCGGACCCATCAAGCTTCATTTCGCTTTTCGGCGTGCCATTGATGAATTCTTTCACGGCAGGCCCGTTGAGGGGGATGACCAAGCGCAGAGCAGCGATGATGCTGACAGCCCTTTGGCTGTGCAGCGACGCGATTCGACTCGCAATTGTGTTGTCAAGCCTGCTGTTTCAAGGCAACAGCACGGCAATGTCTTGCTGCTGTCGTCCGATTCCGAGTCTGAGTCCAATGCCCCACAAGTCAGGCCGGCCCCTTCAGCCCATCCCGTCGCGCCTGTGTCCACATCTGCAGCTGTGGATCCCATGGACTCTGATCAGCGCTCGGCAAGCTTGTCAGTGCCATGCGCAGTCGCATTGGTTCCTTCCAAGCTCGGTGACCTTGAAACCCTGATCTCACAGCTCCTTGATGACGAGCTTGAATCTGAGACCGAGCAAAAGGCTAGTCACGAACCCAAAGTGAGCCGGCTAGTGCTTGATCTTGCTCGCCGAAAGAAGCTGCAGCCGCGCAGTCAAACTTCAAGGCGTGACACTCCCAGGAGCCGTGTTTCGGAGGAGAGCGGTCGTGCGTCGCTACGGCTGGATATGGATTCTTTGCCCGACGCGCCAGGTGCGGCTGCTTCGACGCTGCCATCTGTCAATGGCGTCCAACTCCCATCCATAGAGGTGCACACTGGGGCATCTTCAAAGCTGGATGCCGATGACTCGGAGGCAGATAGCGAGCATGACAGCGACGATGCCATGCTTGAGTTTGGCGAGATTGATGAGCCTGAGGCCATGACGCTCTGAGAGCGTTGCTTTGTATTGGTTCACTTGAAAAGCATACGGATCATGTCAATTCTGATGAACTTGAAATTACATTAGCCATTTCTTCACTGTGCCAAGTCTTGTTGACATCTGATTGTTCTTGTAGACACGGAATGACCGAAGAGAAGAAGATGTATTTCAAATGTCGCTCAAACAAGGAGCGCATACAGAGGTGGTGAAGAAACAAGATCGATCATATCCACGAGGCTCACGTGGAAATGGAATCAAAAAGCCAAGCGCTTGGTAGATTCAAAACACAGCTCGTCCTACGACCTGAGGAAGGCACACGAGCGAAGGACTGGGGCAAAGGTTCTACGTGTGTGCTGGGGGCCCATCAGACCCAAGCCAGGCACGCTTCAGACTCGAGAAATACTAACAGGGAAGAACTGCAAGACAAGGAAAAACAGACAAACACAAAAAAAAAAAGGAAAGAAGAAAGAGAGAGAGAGAGAGAGAGAGAGAGAGAGAGAGAGAGGGAAGAGAGAGAGAGAGAGAGAGAGAGGGAAGAGAGGGAGAGAGAGAGAGAGAGAGAGAGGAAAAGAAAACACAAAAGAAACGATCCCACTCGGGATCAGAGCAAAGTAAACATGCAAGCGTATGCTAGGATGATTCATCACGCGACAGGGCCATCCTGAACAGCAGATGGCTCATGTCAATTGTTTCTTGCCCGCAGGCTTTGTCAGGGGTGAAGACTGGGATTGCTTGCCTCCTTTGCTGGCACCAGACAGAGCCGATGAGCTCTGCTTGGCTGGCCTTTTCGTTTGACGAACCTCGGATGCGTGCGATTCGGCTGCCACGGCGGCAAGCGCTTGTAGCTTAGCCTGATGGAGCCAAACACAAAAGAGGAAAAAAAATGTGGGGTGAGTTTGCATCCAGGCATTTGGCCGCAAACCACTGAAGGGGAGCGGGCTACATACGACAGAGGCATCGGGGCCAAAGTCGGGGGCATGTTCTTGACGGTGCTTCAGTCCATCCAAAAGCTGATCCTGAATTTCCGCATCGTGGGTCAGTTGCGGGGCCTTGGGCATGCTGCTTGGCTTGCTTTGAGAGGAAGCCTGAGCAAAGTCGACACGGAAAGGCGCATTTTTCTTGCGCGCAGGAGCGCCATTGTTGGTGCCTCCGTCGCTTGCCGAAGCAGAGCCCGGAGCGGAGGCCACGCTAGCACCTCGTTTGGCCGGGTTGCGCTGGGCGGCAGCCAGTGGTTTGGCACTGGACATGGCATTGGAGAGTTGATGGCTCATGAGCGCAGCATTGGGCAGTAGCGAGGGACGGCCTGCTAAATTGGAGAACATGGAGAGGTAGCTTGGCGAGAAGACGCCCGGGGACTCGGAAAGAAAGTGGACCAAGTCCACGCCGGGACTGGGCAAGGAGGTGTTGGCGTTTACGAAATGGGTGGGTGTTGACAGGGAATCAGAGGTAGGGGGTGCCACGACAGGGACACCGGTCAGTACTGGGATGGGTGTCCGCACCGTGGTAGGTTGCATCACATCGTTGAGGGGCGCAGGACGCTGAAGCTTCCGACGAGCAGGCTTGGCGGCGGCATTATTCGTATTGGCCATGGTAGCACCCAAATTAGCAAGCGTCGCGGCAGCAGCCGCAGCTGTGGCTCGAGTCGCCATGTTGAGAGCTTCAGCAGGCTTGTTATTTGAGGTTGCGACTGCTTTGGAAGTGGCGGTCTGAGCGTCCGGTTCTGGAGTGCGCTTTTTTTGTGGTCGGCCACGCTTGGCTCTACATGCATGGCACGCGCCATGAAGTGAGCTCAGTGCAGCACGGCAAAATTGACACGAGAGGAAGGGGTGGCTTGGGCGAGATAATGCAAAACCAGGAAACTCACTTGCGATCGTGCGTTTTGCGATGGCGATTGAGAATGGAGCGCTGTGAAAAATTGCGCTTGCAGATCTCGCAAGTGTAGGGTTTCTCTATCCACGGGCGATTCCGCAAAGGTGAGGCGGGCAGGATACGTCAACTGAGCCCCCAAAAAAATTGAGCACTGACCTCCGGTATGGGTGCGGTTATGAGTTACCAGGTTGCCCTGCTCACGAAAAGCAGCACCACATTTTTCACACTTGTAGGGTTTTTCTACACGAAGATGACAGGATCAGAGGTGGTGTGCAGTCAACAGGGACCCAGTAAAACAGCGGGAAGGAAAGCAAAAGTTGAAGCAGGCAGAAAAGATGGACGTACCGTCATTATGTATACGCATGTGGCGAATGAGGGAGCCCTGTTGAGTAAAGCGGAGCCCACAGTTGGCGACTTGACAGGCAAAGGGCTTTTCACCCGTGTGGATGCGCTCATGCACAACGCAATCCCGTTTGCGCTTGAAATGTTTGTTGCAACCCGGATAGCTACGGAAAAGAGGTTCACGGCAGCAGCAGCAGCAGCACACGTAAGGGCATAACGGGAGGGATGGGGCAGAACGGCGGGGGTGGAAGAGCTCAGCAAGGCAGGGGTGGCCACGAGGCTGATGAACGTACGAACAAGTCACCCCCAGGTCTTCAGACATGGTGGCGGTTGATGGTGGCCGACTGGCGGTAGAATTGTGCCGAGGCGCCTGGGCCGCAACCACTCTGGAGGAAGAGGATGGGTTGAGTTGGCCAGTTTCGGAGAGAATAGTATGCAGCAGGGCCTTCTCGGGCCCTAGCGAAGCGGCACTTGAGGCTGGATGTGAAGATCGCCCGGGCCGGCTTGTGCGAGCAGCCGGCTGTCGGGCAACGTTGAGGAGGAGGGAGGCAGCTGTATCTGGCTGTGTATCGAGCATTGTCTACTTGCATGGATGTGGTACGACAGGGGAACAGGGCATAAGGAGACAAAAACGATGTTAGCGGTTTGTCAGAGGAAGGGGTGGGGGAGCGCAGAGGCATGCAAGGGTGGGCGGGAGCTTGAAGAGGTATGGGAGGGCGGGAACGTCACACCTGAGACCCACAAAAGTGGACACGACACACCGCAATAAGTTCACCCTGTCTAGCAAGGGTTCAGCCCTGGAGTGTGAGAAACAGGAACAAGCAGGCAGTGAGTCATCCAGTTGCCATACCCTGTCCGGTCCTTTCGAGATGGCGGAGGTCCGCAAACTCAAGAGGTACCACAGTTTAAAAAAAAAAAGGAAAAAGGAAAAATGAAACAAAAAACCTCAGGACCAAGAGGATCAAGCCGGTCTTCTGTTCCCACAGGCATTGGCACGCACGCTCAATCTAATGCCTTGAGACCACAAACAGCCCGCAACGGAAAAAGCGACCGAGCGACCGAGCGACCGAGCGAGAGAGAAAAAACGGCTGGCCGTTAGGCTGAACTGTCGAGCAAGCGCAGCTGCCAAGAGTTGCCTGTACCTGCTATTCACGAGGCTACCGAGGCCAAACAAAGTCTTCTCAGTCCCTCGCAGCAGTAGCCAGTTCTATCTTGCACCCTCCCGGTGCATCAACACGTCTCTGAACTCAGCACCAGACAGGAAGCCGCCGCCGTCTCGTCTGTGAAAAAAAAAAAAAAAGAGAGAGAGAGAGAGAGCGAGAGAGAGAGAGAGAGCATTGGCCGAATCTCTTTGCAGACTCGGACCAACGGAAAGTCAAGCGAAAATAAGCTTCTGATTGGGAGACTGGGAGACTCGACCCATGTGCCAAGGAATTCCTTACGTGTGTGTTGGGAAATGAGTGAGAGAGGGCCTCGGCTACGTGTGTGATTTGGGCTAGGGTGGAGTTTGCATGGGAAACAAGATGTTGTGTGTGCGCCTGAAAAAGAAGCACAGGCAACGCACATGGATGGGAATATGCTGGATATTTGTGAGGTTGGAGAGGGTGTTTTTAGATGGAAGATGATACGAAAATTTACAAAGCGAAATTCGGGTTTGTCAGACAAATCACGCTAGCTCAAGGGGCTGGGCATGCTATTGCTTGGGGGTCTTGGGCTCGGTGCCGGTGCGCTTCTGTTGGTCGAGGCGCTCGACGGCCTTGCGCTTGGCTTCGGCTACCAGCGGCTGCAAACGCTTTTCCCTGGGGAGACGGGTCATTCATTGAGATGAGGATGGACGAGTGGCGGCTTTCGTCTCATGGTGAGAGCTGCATCAGCGTTCACATACCGGGCCAGGCTGCGCATGAGCTCCAAAATAAAGGGGATGTAATTGTGCTTGCGGCGGCGGTTCTCGTCCTGTCACACATTGAAGGATTGGTGAAGCTTACAGAGGAGCTAAAGAAACTCAGCCTCCCGGCTGGAGCTTCAGGTTGCAGGCTTTTGTCCTTGAGGCAGTGCCAACCAGTGACTTTCGTACCTTCCAGTTCTGACGCTTGGCGTGCTCTTGCTGAAGCTGAGCCTCAAATTCCGCGGCCTTGGCCTGCCATTCGGCTGCCTCGGGCGACGCCTCCGGCAAGGACAATGCCATGGACTCGGCATTCTCCTTCTCCTCCTCGAGGGCTTCTCGTCGATCGCGGCACACAGCCATGAGGTTGAAGCGAATCTCCGTGGACGTGTACCGCTCAATCCGCTTCTGCAGTACCGGCACAACCGTCTCCACCCATTCTTCGCCCACCGGTCCTAACACGTTTCGCCAAAGGTAAAATGAACATTGATAGACATAGACAGCAAGAGGGAAAAAAACAGCAACACATGACACATACAAACAAGACGAGAGCATGACAAAAGGAAGAGGGGATGCATGGTCGCTGCACAGGCTCGACAGACCGTGATCGATTGGACCGCGTTGTAGTCCATCCAGCTCGTACAGGCGACCGCCATGGGGTACATAAGCGATAAAATGATACACGTCGTCATCCTTGTCCGCCACCTTCTCTTCCATTGTGAAAGTCTCTATGGCAAGATGCACCCGCAAATTCACACACACACATGATATCCCACGGCTCAAATCACGGCCATCAAGGGCACTGAGCATTGGGTACCGGGCGGCGAACCTTGACGCGAGAAGCTGTTGTGGACAGTGCGTAGTTCTTCGCTGTTGCTGATGGCCAGGCCGGCCGTCTCCGGATCCAACTCATTGGCAAATGATTTGAAGCCAGTCAAATGTTCACCTGGCACAGAACAGACCACGAGCAGCGCACGAACAGCAGTGAACATGAGGATTGGTGTCAGCGAGCATGGTTCACCTTGCAGCAATTGTCGATGGGAAACAAGCAAGTGTCAAGGTTCCAGCAGCAGTACGCGAACCGAGCTCAATGTCCGGAGCGTTGAGGAGAATGGACAGGATGGCCTGAGTGGCGCAGGCATTGTTGATGACTTGGTGCGCAAAAAATAGGCCGGGGATCTTGTAGTCGATGGGTTGCGTCTCCGACTTGTGCGCCTCTGTTAGCACAACGAGCACCCCGCAGAAACCAAATCGTGGCAAATAAGAGCGTATCCAAGTCGTTCAGGCCCCAAGGCTACCAGACTGGTGCGAGTGACTTGACGCACCAGGCGTAAACTTGAAGAGAAACACTAAACCGTAGACGGGTCTGGATAGGGGCAGCCGTTATTGCGAGTCAGATTGGCCGCCAGCTCGTGTGTCGCTTTGTCGTGGTAAGCACAAAGCACACAAGGGGAACCAAATACAGCCCAAGGCGGTGTGGACAAGTGACGTGGAAGCAGGATCACATACGCCAGCTGCTTGAGCGCGTCCACGTCCAAAGCCCAAAGTTCCTCGACTTGCACACCCTTGACGCCTGTGGGGACAGCCGGCCACCATGAGAGCAGCGCAAATCCAGTCCCCGGAACACTCGCGCAAGCTCAACCGCCCGAACACGACAACGTGTAAACACGTACCAACGCCCTCGATAAGGTCCGTGAAGACGCCAGGGTCACTCTCCATCAAGCACCAACGACCAGCCATCGCGGCCAGTTCCTCAATCTCTTGAGCACACCCACTCTACTTCCAAGGCTCCAAGCTAACCCCGAATGCAACAATCTCACCGTGTCACTCTTTCACCCCAAGCCACGGGGCAGAGCCACAAGGGGCGCGCGACACCCAGAGCCAAGCGCTCCCGCCTCACCTCAAGTTCGTGGAGGCCGTCGTCGTTGTGCCACTGAAGCTTTTGAACTGACACTCTAGCATCAACATCTCGATATCCTGCTGCATTAACTTAATCTGACATTAAAGAATCTGACTCTGTTCCTCTTCCTCGACGCGTCGTAAAGTATAGATTTTGCTTCATTACCTTCAGAAACATATTATCTGACAATTATTGTCAGACAAATGGGCCGTGAGCAACTGGAGCCATTTTTTTCATTTTTCAATTTTTTTTTCTTTTTCGCGGTCGCGACGCTCAGAGAAACGGAAGCGTCGGAAGCCACGACACAGCGACAGCAGTAGAGCCCGCAGCCCGCAGCCGTAGGAGCCGTGGGAGCACAAAGCTACTAGTGACACACAGCTGCTGGCACACAAGTGGCGTGAATTTTGTATGAAAACGGGGCTTTAGAGTTGCTGGGAGAGTTTTGCCTCCGTTCATTCATCTCTCATGTTTTCACGAGGGAGTGGCTTTATCAGCGACGTGATCGTGCGGCTTTCTGGTTCCAGCAGTACACTGCCTCGCACGGTCTCTACGTACACACCTCGGCAGGGTCGCATTGCACGGCTGCGACGTGGGGAGTCATCAGGCGGACTCTGGCAGAGTCGACGCGCCCTTCGAGCGACTACGACAGCAGCGCTACTGGCCTTGACCACGGCCTCCTGTCCCGCAGCCATGGCACACGCTGCACACCACATTGCCCGGGCTTATCCGCCTCACGGGCGCTTGGCCTCCTTTTGTGCGGGAGGCGAGTCAGTGGGTGAGGCTGCGTGCGAAGGGGATGAGTATCGCGATTTTGCTTTCACGCCACTGCTTCCTACCCGCCTTTACACGGCAGCCCAGGTGAATTGAGCTTGTGTCGTGGTGCACCCTGTCATCGCGGCAAAGCTCTGTGAAACAGAACTCTTTTTTCTTCATTCTCTTCATTCCCTCTTATTAAACTGATTGCCACCCGCCACCGCCCTCTGCGGCTTCTGTCTGGCAGGTGCGCGATAATGAAGCGCGGGCTGCCAAGGAGATGAACATCAGCATGCCTGATCTGATGCATCGGGCCGGCTCGGCCGCCTATGAACTTTTGACCTTTGTACGTGGCCAGGCCTTGCTGCCAAAGGATTCTGTCGCTTAGCGCCCACCCTGATCTTTCTTCAATCCGTTTCACGTCCTGCCTCACCCCTCTGTTTTTGTCATCAGGCACGACGTGAAGCTCGGCACATTACCCTACTCATTGGCAAGGGAAACAACGGAGGGGATGCTTACATTGTCGGTCAGCGAGCCCTCGAAAACGGGCTCACCGTTCATGCCGCTCAGGTGTGTTGGCAATTCTTTTGCTGCAGAGGAGAAGCGAAGAAGCATCACCATGCACAAGACGAAACGATTGAGGCTCTAGACAAAACAGTCACAACAGCCAAGGGAAAAACGAAAAAGTAGAGGAGGGGTGGTAGTGTGGGGATGCTTGGTCCTTTGGCTGCTCTTACTTGTATTTTGCCTGAAGGTGGGCGATCCGGAGAAGCTCAAGGGAGATGCTCTCAACGCGTACAAGCGCTTTGTTGAGCTGGGTGGCGTCGTCCAGCCCTTGGATGAACATTTCGTCATCCCCTCAGAAACCCAGGCCATTGTTGATGGCCTCTTTGGCATTGGCCTTGATCGCGATATTGCTCCCGGACCTTTTCGACGGGCCATTGAACAAGCTAATGCACACCCATCAGCTCTACGTTTGGCCATTGATATACCCAGTGGCATCCTGGCTGACACGGGAAAGGTATGCTTGGTTCGTGTGCTGGTGTAAGAGTCCTTGGATTGGGTTCTGGAGGCGGCATGCTGGCTCCATCAAGGGTTTGTGTTGATTGGAAAGTGGAAAGGAAGAGATGATACCCGAGTGAAAAGAAAAGGGAAATAATATCATAGGCTTTGAGTGCAACCGGTGGGCACCCCGATCAATTTCCTGAAGGTCAACATGCCATCAACACTCACGGGACCTCGGCCTCACCCTGATGTTCAGGTTGCTGGAGTGGCCTTCCAGGCCGATGTCACGGTCACGTTTATTGCGTGCAAGAAGGGTCTGTTGACGGCCAAGGCTCCCGACTATGTGGGGCGGCTGTATTATGCGCCTTTGGATGTGCGCCAAGCCTTTGAGAATCTCGTCACTTGCACGATTGAACGAGTGAGCTATCAGTCCCTCCTCCGCGACGACCGCCTCCTGGCTCTCAGACCAATGACTGCGCACAAGGGCTCTTTTGGAAAGGTCAGGCCAACGCAATGCTGTATGTCCTGAAGCCTACCTATTGTTTTGTCAGTTATTCACCCAGTTGTTGGGTTGGGGGCGTTTGAACTGTGGCAGGCCATCCTCGTGGGTGGATACAAGGGCATGCCAGGTGCCATCCGTATGGCCGGCGAAGCATGCCAGCGCGTTGGTGCAGGTTTGTATTGATGGACCTGAACCGCACCACGTTTGGGCTACTACCCTAAAGCCAAGCGCAACGCTTCTGGCCGAAGGCCCACGTACTGATGACGTTTCTCATGATGCTTTCTTAACCCGCATCCAGGCTTGGTGCGTGTCGTCACGCACACTCAAAGCTTGGCACCCGTAGCCATTGGCCGCCCTGAGCTCATGGTCGAGGGGCTCGATGAAGAGGTGCGGCACCCCCTCCCGTCTGTAAGGTCGAAGCTGCGTGGAGTATGCCATGGTCCTCTTGTAGCTTGTACTCATCTGGTTGCGGGCTTCGTGCGCTTGTGAAGTTGAACAAGGAAGCTGTATCGTCGCTCCTGCAGTGGGCATCCGTGCTTGCCGTAGGGCCAGGTCTTGGCCAACAGGCCTGGGGGCAAAACTTGCTTCGAATGGTTGGTCTTTATTTGCAAAGCCGCATTCTCAGTGCACGTGATGCATTTCACGTCGCTCTCCAATCTAGAACTGGATCAGAGGGGATTGAATGACCTGTTGTTTGTGCCCGTACTTTCAGGTGTTGGCGCAATCGGATCGACCGGTGGTGCTGGATGCCGATGCACTCAATCTGCTGGCGGACCGTGTTGTGTCTGAGCCATCGCGCACCAATTGGGTGCTGACTCCACACCCAGGCGAGGCAGCTCGGCTGCTGGGCGTGAGCACTTCGGAGGTAACCAAGCTTTCTTATCACCATGCCAAAGCGTTGCGCGCCCCCCTTTTTTGTGTTGGGGATGCTGCGGATGTCATGCTGCAGGTGGAATGGTGGGGTAGACTGCGGTTCAAGCCACGTGTCGTGAAAATCAGCACTCATATTTATGGTTATCCATGGCCATGGCCATGGCCATGATTGTCGCGCTTTCCAGGTTGAACAGGACCGCTTTGCAGCGGCCCGCCAACTCCAAATACGCTACGGGGGCGTGATTTTGCTCAAGGTGCGGCCCGTGAGGGATGACTGCAGGCTGTTTCCGTTTTACATTTTGTTTCAGTGTCTGTGCTGGCTGGATCGTCACGAGTGAGCCACTCTTTTTTTTTTTCTTTTTTTTTTTCTGCCTCGTAGGGGTCTGGGACCATTGTGGACGATGGTTCCTTGGTGTCGGTGGTGTCCGATGGCAATCCAGGCATGGGTTCCGGGGGCATGGGGGACACGCTCACGGGCATCATTACAGGTATGGATCGAGACACGAGGGCGTATCGAATTGGCAACCTGGTTCTTGGTCGACCTTGTGCCTCATTGCCCGCTTGAATGTGCTTAGGCTTGTTAGCGCAGGGTTTGTCGCCCTCCGAGGCTGCGCGGGTTGGCGCTGCTCTACATGCGCGGGCAGCCGATGAAGTGGCCAGCACATACGGCGAGCGAGGCATGTTGGCCACTGATCTTCTCGAGCCCCTCCGCCACCTCGTCAATCCCGTTCGCCGCGTCCGACTTCAAACCGACGCCTAAGCTCGCATTTTGTGTGTGTGTGTGTGTGTGTGTGTGTGTGTGTGTGTGTGTGTGTGTGTGTGTGTGTGTCGCAATTGTCAGATAAAAAGTGCGTGACATCATTACACATGCAGTTTATGAGAGAAACGTGTGGTTGCCGTCTCTTGTTCTGATGACGCGCGCGCACGATCAAGAGGGTCGTTCTCGTTCTCGTCCATCGGTGGCAGGAAGGGCAGGCTTGGGAGAATCATAAGAGACGGGGGGCTGCGGGGATAGGGGGTGCGGTGGCAACATCCGACTCGCTCGGTAGGAACGGGGCGACGAGGTGGGAGATGTACAGCGGAAAGTCGTTGCACCTGGCCGAGTCTTGGAGCCCTTGAGGAGTAATCTGGGATCCTCTTGACAAGTCAAGAAAACGCCCGTGCGTGGCATTGTGACAACTTCCACATGGGGGGGGGGGGGGGAACGCGCTTGACCATGCTCCCCTTCCCCCACATCTCCCTTCCACCCACCCCCATTGCTCCTTCCGCTCAGCCGTCCCGATGAGACGATGCGTGGCGGAGGCTACGAAAAAGATGACACCTTGCAAAGTCGATCAGTGTTTGCCTGCTGCCACTGGAGGGCTACGAAACACCTCCTCGCTCACGCCCGCGTCTGAATCACCAACAGCGGCATTTTGGGATCGCAGGCACTCTCATCTCGCACAATCGAACGAGTCTTGCGACTGCAGCCACCGTATGTTTGTTTCTCGAGCTAGCGCCAATGGTTTAAAGGCACAGCCACCAGAAGAGGATACGAGAGAAGCGTAGTCTTTTCGTACGCGTGGCCAACACATCAAGAAAAGCCTCCAAGCGGTCCACCAGAAACGTCCACCACTTGATGTTGCCAAGGCCTAGCCTTGCCCATGCTTGAGGAAATCACCATGATCGGCTCGCAACGCAGCTTGGATTGCCCACAAGAAAGCGCCCAGTTGGTGTTGTCTGCCATTTCATCTCGTGTTTGGTATCCACCCCCACCCGCTCAAGACACTTGCCGCGCCTCCACGCTACCCTCGCACATCCGAGAGAGAGCGAGCAGGCCCGAGCAAAGGTGGCATTTTTCACTGCCTGCGGCCAACTCTAGACTCAGACCAGACCCCACCACCGTCTGGCTCCGTCCAGTCGTTTGACCTCTGCCACCAGTTGTTGCTGCTTCACGCATTGTATCTACCGTCGCGGTTGTGTCGAAGCATCCCCGACCGTACACCATGGCTTTTGTGTCCGTGCGTCGGAACGACTACCGTTATCGCCTGGGAACCATTCTCAGCGCAGCCACCGCGCTCTTTCTCTTGACGCTCGGCCTACTCCTCATGCTGATTGCTCTTGGTTCCGACGTCTGGTCCAAGCAACGCATTGAGATTGATGGGTTTGAGGATGTGGTTGCCACTCGTGGTCTCTGGACGGCCAGCCTGCAAAACAACTACGGCGCCGAAGTTTGGGTCTACTATTACAAGGAGGATGTCAATGGTACGTTGGACTTGGCATGGCCAACTGACAAACGTGCTCTCTCAAATTTTTCTCGATAAAAAGTTCTGTACCACTCATTCTCGGCATTGCTGTAGGCTTTGAAATGGACCCCTTCTGTGGCTCCTCAGCTGCCTCGTCCTTTTATCTTCAATACCTGCCGGTTCTGACGACCGATTTCCAGTCTGGCAACAACTATCTGCCCCCTGGTGTTTGCTGTGGCACGGGCACCGTCTTTGATGCCGACCGCAGCGATGAGACGAACGACTGGTGTGACCTGGTGAGTGACCACTCCCGCTCTCCACGCTCATGTTTCGCACCGAGCAGCTGCTCAGTCGTCTCCGGCCGTGTTCTCATTTTACTTGGCCTACCGTTTCTTGTTTGCCGATAGCGCGACGCAACTCGCGGTCTCAGCATTGCCTCTGTTGTCTTCATCGGCCTGGCCTTCCTGAGCATGTTCTTGGCCCGCTTGACGTTTGGTCCCATGATTTTCCTCAGCTTGATTGGCGGTGCGTGCTTGATCGCGAGTGTCTGGCTCGTCGCTTTTGCCATGGCCGCGTAGCTGGCCTTTAGTAAAGCAACTGCCATTTCATGACGCCCCTGCTTGATTTCATCCCGCTCGCGCAGCTATTCTGGGCATCGCTGCAACGATCGTCTTTGGTGTGGTAAGTCAGCGTCTCCTAAATCCGATAGACAGCAATTTTTGAGAAAGGCGAAACTCGCCGTCGCTCTACCCATGCTGGCTCATTCGATATACTGCGTTCCCCCGGCACTATAGTGGCTCCACCGCGAGGAGGATGATGTGGAGGATCAACAATTCGACTCTGTGGCGGACGTCGACGCTGCCTATTCCTACGGGCTTTTCATCGTCGGTAAGCAGTAGCTCCTTGTTTGACACACCCGTCCTGTTTTACTTTTTGCAAACCCTGAGCTCACACGGTGTGTTTCAAACAGGCTGGCTGCTGCCTCTGTTGGCTTCCATCTTCCTCATTTTCTCCGAGATTTTCCGCCGCAAGGATCGTCGTGACTCGGTTGCTGTGCCCCCGGTCGCTGTGCCCCCTCAACCCGCCCAGCCCCAATTTGCCCAGCACCCAGGCCGCTACCATCCCAATGAGGTTGTTGTTGTGCCTCCCAACGAGGCCAACAACCATACAACTGGCCAGAACTTCACCCCCGGCCGCAATCATCCCCGCGAGGAGCAGCTCCTGGCTGGTGACGGCGCTGGCACGAACAACAACTTGCCCGTTGGAGGTCAACCCACAACACATGCCAACCCCGTCCAGCAGGCCGCTCATGATCCCAGCCTCGCTGCCCATCCCGGGCGCTACGCGCCCACGGCGACCCCTGCGCGAGCGGACAACGTCTAACTTTTCTTTGCTCCTTGCAATTTTTGGACTAATCGCTCCCACATTGCCGCCGGTTTCTCGGTACTTTACCAAAGCCAAGCTTTGTTCCCTGTTGCCCAATATTTGTAGTCTCTCTTGTTCGTTGAGGTCTTGAATTGGAGCCAAGCCATCTGCTTTGTGCGGGTGTTTCTTGGGTGTGCCGTGTGACGACCCGAGTGCTGTTTCTTTTTTTGTGTATCTGTTCTGTTTGTGCAAATTGTGGGCCTTCCTTGTCGTCACTGCTCCATTTGGCTCGATGTCTGGTTTTGGCTCGAGCCTCACCAGCTCAGGATCCCAACGCACACCTGCCAATTCATTCCTTGCAAAAAAAATCTATGCGCTTTTAAAATTTCAAAATTGGGTTCCTTGCACGTGGGACCAAATGCACAAACGACAAAAGCTAACAAACTCCCAAACAAATGGCCGGGTTCCACTCATGGTGCCCGGGGCAAACTATCATCACCTCTATCCTACTTTACGAATACTTTGGTCCCACTACCAGAACGGCTCGGGTTGCAGGCTCATGCACACCAGGTGTAATAGAGCACGCACGTCTTCGGACAAAAGGTGCCAGTGCCGATGAACTGGCACCCAAGCAAATTGGTGCTCACGCTTGTGTACGATGGAAGCTTTTTGCAGGTGCAGTAAGAGGTCGCTCAGGCTGCCATCCTCGGCATGAAAGTGGCGCACGTCAGCCTCGACCCAGCGCGTATCGCTGTTAAACGGCGAATCCCAGTACATGTACTCGGCCTCAAAGTCCTCCCAAGCTGGCTTATCCGCTCGACCCGACTCGGGGTCTTGCTCGCTGTCCGAGTAGCGGTGGTTGAGTTTTCGGCTCAGGCGTCGCATGGCTCGCTGTGTGAAGCTCAGCTCCATCGGTTGTTGCTCCATCGTGGGCGTTGAAGTCATGGGTTGTCCACCAGGAACACCGGGATCCAAGCGGGCGCCTGGTGCCCGCCCCTCTCCGTGCGCCGGGCGGCGGGGCGTGTGAAATGTGGAGGGCAAAGACGTCGGCTCTGTCGTGACAATGGACGTACTCTGCAACAAGTGTCGGTACTCAGGCTTGAGTGAAACTACCAGAGCCAAAATCTGCCAACGCGCACGAGCTCATGAGTTGGGTGTTTTCAGCATCTATGCTCGCTAGGTGGCTGCAACATCACAGCCAAGTGTCCTCTCAAAGATAGACCTGCTATACCTGATGAATGTTAAAGCCGCGGCGTGTCAACTTGGCCATGCTTAGGCTTTGCAAAATTTCCTGTTGTGGCAGCACTGAGTAGCCGTGCTCTGCAGCAAATGGCAGCTTGAGCGTGGGTTGAAGCTCGATGGCATCGTCAATGACCACCAGCGCCTCCAACACGGGACTGCCACGTCGTGTGATGACATGCCCATGCCCGCGCTTCCAACGTGTAATGACATAAATAACGCGCCGATTGGGTCCTGGCTCGCTCAGGCTGGGGTCAAGCCAGCAACCCGTGGGTCCAACTGTGTTGAGATACTGTTGCGCAAAGAACTGCTCCGGAGTCTAAGTCGGGTATTCCCCAACATCATGCACAATGTGAGACATTGCGGAAACAAAAGGACTTGGGCAGTACGGTTTTGTGCCAGACGATTGGCCTAGTCACACGCACTTGATCAAGTGTGCGACAATATTTGGCAATTTCCTCAGCGGCACGCGGGTCTTGTTCATAAATGGCTTGCCAGCCACGCAGTGGCATTGTTGACAGTCGCAAGGGCAGGGCATCCTGCGCATCCGAGAGTCCCCCGTTTGCGTCGTGAGCATCTGGTCTGAGTGTTCAATGCAACAACTACAAAAAAAAAAAACCAAAAACAAACAAAAAGAAAAAAAAAAAGCTCAAGACAGAGCCATACATTGATTAACCGCGCGGTGCGATGTTGCTTCCGTGTGGTAAAATTGCGACCCACTCCAAAGAGCTCGGCCAACTAAAAGCCAGATAGATGGAAAAGTAAGAGAGTGACTGATCACAAAACGCCAGGGGAGCGGCCAATTGGGATGCTAGTGCTGCAATGCACCCACATGATACACGCTCAGGCGCTGCTGCGGCTCCTCTTCATGATCAAGACTGCTACGGCGCCAAGGGTCGCGTTCAACCACAGCGAGCAGCAGGGTCTCCAAGCGGGCTACGTGGCGGATGGGCATCGGCCGCGTCAGTGGTTAGGGCACATGGCTGCGAACCAAATTGGTCGATTTGCCTGTGCATGCAGGCGTGGGCGTACCGCTGCGGATGGATTCCGAGTGCATCAGCTGCAGAATTTGCCCGTTGAGTGAGTTTTGCTCGCCATGCGCCATCTCCTGGGCCGCCAAACCGGCGTCGGCGGAAGCCAAATTGCGCTCATACCACCTGGCCAATACAATTTCAACCGGGCAGCATGATCGCGCATATTTTACTAAAAAGCAGCAGGAACGGCGCCCGACACAAAGCAGCCTGGCTGGTTCACAAAGGCGCTGGCGGCACCTCCCCCTTTCCACAATCGGACATACCGCTCCGTCTGACGCTCTTGGAATTGCTCTAGCTCATTGATGTCGTCCGAGTCAAATTCGGCTGACAAAAGCGGTGGCTGCATCCATGCACGCCAGATACGGCTGACATAGGCCAGCAGAGACAGCGGGGGTGGAAGCCAAGAGCGTAGCTGGTATTCCTTCAATAAACGGTAGTACTGCAGGCGCCAGTACACATATGTAGCGCCCTGAATGTGCTCGAACCTCCGGCTGAACATTGCAATCAAAAGATTGACCAGGAGAATGTTGACTGCCAGGCAGCGCACAGCAGACAGGGTTCTGTCAGGTTCGTGCTGCCATGCATGTCGGTCCGAATCGTGAAGCGTTGCTCACCAGCCAAGAGATAGATGAACATGTAGATGGGAATCAACCACTGTGCCGCATTACAGGACGAAAACACGCTCTCGCCCACACACGAGGAGCGCTCATCGTACTCCTACGCATCAAGCACGCACCCCGTCAACCCAACTTCAAGCTTCAAAATGTCCAATGAACCCCCAAGCCAAGACACCAAAAATTGCATCTTGGCCTGAAAGGACAACGCACCTCGAGGAAAACTTCGCCAAAGGTCTGGAAAGCTGGCCGAATCAAGACAAATTCCACCTGAGCCACACATCATGAATGCTTGTTATAAGCCAGGCGCCTTTATGATTTCCATGGCAGTCCCAAGCGAGCCAGGCAACGTGCGTAAGCGCACCCAAAGGTTGGGAAGTGCCTCCTTGTAGTTGACTGAGGTCATTACAGCAAAGGTGGCAAAGCCATAGGCCAGCAGGAAAACCAGGGCAAAGACGGCAAAGACCGTGACATCAAGCAGCATGCGCTGCATCATGATTAGCTTGGGGCCAATCAGTGGCGATGACTCGGTGTATCTATTGCACATCAAAAGCGCAGTAAACTCCGTCAAAAGAGACCGGCTCACAACCACACAGCAGGATGGAAGGATCTCGCAACGGGCGTGCAGCGCAAACGATTAAACTCATCGGACCGTAAAAGACGTAAAAAAGCAATGGCGATGACCATCCCAAAGAGGATGCGCGAGGCGCCCTGGGTCTTCAGTCCAGCATGTTTGCGCACAAGGCGGCAGACAAAGCTAGTGATGTAGGTCGACAGCTGTGGTCGCGGCCAATCAGGGTGAACGCACATAAGATACAAGCTGCAAAAAAATATGCCAAATTAAATAAAAAGCTCTTTTCCGCACCCTCTTGGGCCCTTGCCCTAGCACGTACCAAGACGACGTCAACGCGATTCCAGATGTCAGCGGACCACACCAAAGCTCCTTGGACGCGGACTTGATCTGCTTCCTCCAAAAGCAACACCATCATCCAAGCCGCCACCGTCCATTCGAGCCCCGATATCTCATGTTTCCAGGGCAAGACGAGCACCGCAGACATGAGGCTAACCAGCACGAGGTGCGAAAAAAAGTGCAAGTAAAACTATGGCACAGGTGAGAGGTATGAGCAGCAATCATGAGATGGCACTGTGGAGGTCACACAGCGCATAACGACAAAAGCATAGCTCAGGACCAGTAATCAACTCACTTTGGTGCTTGTGCTCAGACGTTGGTAGTCGTCGCGTTTGTGCCAAGAGTTTTCAACCTAGTGCCCAAGTGAAGCAAGTTGAGCCCATGACAATCGCTCTCCACGTGCACCCACACGGTGTACAAGAGATGTGCGTCAGTGCCTCAGCATCTCCGGTGTCCTCACTGACATGGGTATCGACAGCAGCGTGGCTGATAAATTCCGTCATGGAGGCTTGCATGGCTGCGTCAACAATCGTGTTTGACCGCTTGTCGACGAATCGCTGCCGAATCAACAGCATAAAAGGGGAAGCGCGTGGTTGTTAATCCTTGACAAACGCCCACCGAAAGACTAGATTTGTCAGTGCTCAATGTGCCAGCAAGAGGCACGCACCTTGGCAGGAAAGTTGGGTAGTGTGTGGAGATTACAGCTCAGCAGGGCTAAAGTGCGGGCTTCATCATAGCTGTGACATTGTGCGAGTACCTCCGTCGAGTATCTTTCAAAGCGATTGGCCACCTCCGCCATCTTGTTCAACTCCTATCAAACGCAGCATGCCACGTGGGATGGCATATGTGAGCCAGGTAACAAGAACGAGGTGTGATTTGGTAGTCACATGTCTTGACACCCTCCCCTCAAGCCTTGACACCCTCTTTCTCTCTCTCTCTCTCTCTATGCAAACTGGCTTCGGGTCACACGTACCGCTTTGTACTGGAGGTGGTTGCGAAACGGTGAAGCCTGAGCCATGCGCGACAGGAGCGTCGCGGCAAAGAGACCATTTTGAATGCTGTGGCCTACGCAAATGGAGAGGAGGGCGCAATCTCGGCTTGAGCAAGCACCACTCAACGCGTAGCAAGGTTGGCTAGCGAACGCACCGCCACGACGCCAAAAAATGTCGGCCAAGTCATATTTGCCCGCTAGCAGTGACCATATAAAAAGATAGTAATAGGACTCCACAGCCGTCATGGCCTTGCGCGCTAGCGGGGCCGCCTGCATCATGGACTGTCCCTCCTTGTCCTTGGCAATGGTGGGCCGGCGACGCTGCTGACGAGCCCGCGACACGAGGTAGGAATTGCTGGCCAGCAGCGTTTTGAGGAGAACTTTGACGCAGGTGTACCGTCGCGCCGGCGAAACGTGCGGGCACGCCCAGCGGAACAGCCGATCCAAGGCCGGATGCTTGCGAAACAATTCGGGGGAGAAAAGTTTTTCAAAACAGTTGTGCCAGTCCCCTCGTCGACTCATCGGGACTTGCTCGGCCATTAAATAGGACATAAAGTAGCCAATGTCGTTACCCAATTGTTTACAGATTTCATCCACAAAGGGTGCGTTTGAGCGGTGCAGCGCCCACAGCAGGGCATCAAATAAATCTTGCTTGAACTTGGCCTGCAGTGTCGCGCTGTGGAGCACAGGCATATGTCATCCCAAATTGAAGAGTGAGACGCTTCATTCTTCTCCATACGTTGCATGAGCGCTTGGTTTCGGCGACGGCCGACATACCCTTCAGATTTGACAAAAGACACGAGCTGCGTAAACCGCGCCTTGGCAAGTTCAATGCGGCCAAATGTGAGAGCCAGACGCAACTCCGAGAGCTTCCCAACATAGCTATCGGCAGCCACGCCAGCAAAATGCCGCTTCGTCTCTATGATGGCACGCAAAATGTCCTCATCCAGGGAGCTATAGCCCTCATAGGGGGTATGGACCGTGATCTGCTCATGCACAGCATCATTCGAGCGAGACGTCAGCCCGCGATCCAGGGCGCAGAAGTAAATAATGATCATGTCGTGGAAAGCACATCATGCCGACCTGATTGGGCAAAGCTACGAGACGCAAAATCGAGGCTACTTCCCGCTCCAGCGCCTCCTCAAAATCAGTCACTGTCACACAGGAGCATATTGGAAGTGAAAACGTGAGTGCGCGTCGTCTTCCGACTTTGGTCGCTGAGATATGCCGGGACAAAGTCACCGATCTTCGATCACGCGCAGCCCGAGCGATGACGGACCGTTGGTCGGAATAAAAGGGCGAAGCAGCATTTCCAACTGCGAAATGCTGAAACTGCTGGCCATTGGAGCGACGTCATGCAATAGGCGCCAGGCGTAAGAGATAACGTCAGCAAAGCGGCCTGATCCATCCAGCACCTGTCAAGTCGCGCATACATTAGTCAATGTTGATTGAATGAAGGCATGTGCCGACAACGCTGACAAAAAACACGAGCCGGTTCATCCAAATACGCATCTGATGTTGCGCCCAAAGCCTTTGGCCAACGGGCCGGCGAAAACGTACCACCACGGGGGTTTCCGAGGTCACGGCTTTCTCAATGACATTGCGAGTGACCTGACCGCCCTCAATGACCAATACTACGGCATAAGTCTCGTATGCCTTGAGGCTGCCAAACATTTTGCGATGATCTGACCCGAGTGATAAACATGGTGAGTACTGGGGTCACGCGCAAGTTCACAAGGAAAGTCAGCCTATACACACCTTCTGTGCGAGCGCGAGGTTGTCGATGGCCGCGTTTGTGGCGCCCGCCGGAGGTTTGACGCTGTTGGGGGGCTTGCTGGGGTGGAGGCGGTGCCGGTGGCACTTGCGTAGTGGCTGCATCTTGCCATTGCGGAAATATGGCACGGTGTAACGTCTCATCTGGACGACGCGAGCGAGGGGCATGGCGATGGTGGAGCGAGGCCAGAGCAGAGAGGTCGCGTGCCGGTCGCACGTCCGGGGTTGACACGGGCGGAGGAGTGGGTATGTTGCTTGTCGCGGCTTGCGACATGTTTGTTGCCGTCTCCAGAGTAGAGGATCGCTTGCGGACGGATGCGAGTGGCGTGTGGCTTTCACTCATGTCGTTATTCAGTTTGTGCTGGGTTGTGCTGTGCCGATGAATGCTGTCACTGCCATCAGCATCAGCAGCTGCGGTTGAAGGTGTGCCCAGACCTGAGCCTGCCCGACGCTTGGCAGCTTCTTCAAATGTTGCTCGAAACTCAACCTCTCCACCTCGTTTAAACCTGTTGTGCGCGTCAGTGTGAGGGTACTCAAGAGGCGCACGTAGTGTCGCCTGGCTCGACAAGACTGTCGTCGATTGTAGTCAGCGCCTTCAAACAAGACAAAAGGCGAAGCAACAGCGTACCGGAAGCCTGAAGGAGCATCGAAGAGGGCCTCGGCAGCTACACCGTGCCGATGCAGGAATGGTGAACCAAAGGGCACGACACAAATTGTCTGCACATCAAACTCATCCAGCAGATCAGGCAGTAGCGTATGGGGACCAGCGGTGCTCATCCCCAGCAAGGATTCGTCGTTCAAGGCTGCTTGGTGATCGTCTTGCTCGAAAGAGCGCGACACCAGTAGGTCGGATTGCGGTTCGAGAATGTCAATCCAGTTGTCGTTCTTAATGACTGAGTTCTTGATCTGCGTTTAAGATGGGCAGCAGGGTCGCACGCGAGTGTGTTGGGGAGGGGTGTGTGTGGAGATGGGGTGAGGAACGCGGTCACGTAGACAAAGCAGAGAGACAGGCAGGCCCAATTCAAACCTTGGTGTTGGTTAAGCACAGGTGAAGGGAGCGAAAGCCGTGAGGATCCATGGAGTAGAGAAAAACCACGTCGTCTGTGTGCATGACCTCATCGCAATAGCGGCGGGGAGCAGAACGGCCGAGTTCCACTTGTGTGGCCTGCAGAAAATCGTTGAGACAATCGCGTAGCGTTGGTAGGCCAGAAATCTCAAAATTGGCGTGCAGGGAGGTGTGAAAGCGAAATGCACGCATCAGGTGTCGGAGATTTGTCCAAGGCATGTGCATGGAAGTGGCATACTCAACGCCAGCTAAAACGCCGGTGAGGCAGCGGATTTGCTCACGACCCAGTTGTCGAACAATGTCATCCAAACGCCGGGCCAGAGGTGCGTCGGGTGCCAACAAGTCGGCCGCAGTGCGATCCAGCAGTAGGTGAAGAATCAGGGTACGCGGGCGCGAGGTGATGGAGGCTGTGGTCTCCTCTTGACGTGGCCAAGCATCAAGGAGCCGCGCCAAAAGTTCGAGGTCCCCGGGTTGCGAAGCACCGTCTGGGCCTCCGATTCGCAAAATCACATGAAGCGCATTGGTACCCGGGGGGATGGCGCCGAGGCGTTGACGCCATAGCTCCAGATTGCACAGGCGGGACTTGCCCTTGAGAAAGTCACGAATTGATCGAGCTGCCGCGTGCTGACGTTCGCCCGAAGACGCCAGGGTCCAGGCGGTGCCCTCGCTCTTGGAAGTGTAGGGGTTATCCACCAGCAACAAGACACCGTGATTCTCATCCAAGGAGCTGCAAAAAGGGGTGGTAGTAGTGATGAGTGGGGGTGTGGGGGGTGAAAGTTGTAATAATGGTCTACCAAGGCTCTCAAAAAAGTGCTGCACATCAAGATTAGGAAATTGATCAGCACCTCGGACATACCGGTGGTCATTGGCCGAGTAGTTGCGAATGACGACGGCTGGTTCATCAAGAGTAGATTGGGAAGCTTCGTAGGTGTTGGGCAAAAGTCCCACATGTTGCTCATGTGCCACACCAACAAGGCGCACACTGCCTGCTTCACGGCCAGTCTCGCCGTCTTGGGCACGAGCCATGATCTCGCCCGTTACCTGCCCCATGCAGGCCAGCAGATGTTCGGGCACGAGTAAGATTCGTCACTCAACACGTGTTGCGGGCAGCTTGACACTGGCTCACTTACCTTCATAACACCGCAATTGGTGCCCCCGGTGGTAATCCAAGTGTCGATGACGTCAGTGGCTCGGCGCAGGCCCACACGCAGCGTGTCGCGAAGCCGGGTCGTCAGCACCAGGTCTCGCGCGCCGCCCGTGACCGAGATAATAAGCTGATGCCGCGGATCAAGCATGGGGCACGGGGGGAACATAATCTGGCGTGAGGCCATACGGGCAGGCGTCGCAAGCATCGAGGCCCCGGGTCGGGCAAAGACATCAACGCAATCGTTGGGGTAACGGTATTGTTGGCTTTCCATGTTGTCTGCCTAATTGACAGCCGGCCTGTCTATCTTCTTTGTGCAGCTTCAGGCGAGGTTGAAGAGGACAAACCTGAGGAGCTGGGAGCGCGGGGCGCAGAAGCGAGGTGCGAGCATCGAGATGCACAAGGGGCGAGGATGTGGGGTTGGTAGGATCGGGCGTAGCCCCGTTGTTGGTGCTGGCATGGTGTCCATGAAGTTCGCTCATCGAGTAGCGGACCCCGGGTTGGGCAGCCGTGGTCAGGCGGTGTTGTAGGTTGCCTGGTGATGGCCGGACTAAGGTGAGCCATTCCAGCACCTTTTCGGCCTTGGCATTGTACGGGACTTCGATGACGAGCTGTGGTGCGCGTACAAAGGCAGCGAACAGAGCTGTGAGTAGGCGCATGTGCTTTGGCGTGCATGTGCTCGGATATCCCAGTTTGTGCTGTGGAAAGAAAACTATGATGAGCAGGACAGGAAGGCAGGGGGCCAAAGTTGTGGTGCACCTGGTGGCGGATTGGATTTTCGACCACGAAGACGTTGAAAATATCATGGCTAGCGTAGAGGGCCATCCAATCGAGCAAGAGCATGTCATCCTCGGAGAGGCCTGCCGTGTCGCCTCCTGTCGAGGCGTTGCCCAAGCCTGATGCACGGCGCGGTGCAGGGCCACGGTGGCGATCGAGGGGTCGCCGTGGCATACTCGGCGAAGGTGTAGCGCGACCACCATGACTCCGGCCAGCGCCAAGGGCCGCATGGCCGCGGACCACGGGAAAGACAGACTCGCGCAAGTGCGTGGGCGACGCAGGCTCGGACACGGCCACTGGCTTGTGGGCTGGAATCGCCGAAGCTACCAGCGTGGTCGTGGTCAAGGCTGGCGTGGGCGGCGCTGGTGTGGACACCGTCGATGCGACTGGAGCCAAGCCATCTTCGAATTCGTCAAGTCGCAATTCGGCATCCATCTCCTCGGCTGTCGCCATCGTGCCGTTTCTCACGCATCCAGCTCGCCTTCCCCCCTCAAGAGGGTGAGGGTGGGAGGTGGCTCAGCGTACCGCAAGAAACGATTTCCTCCCAGCTCTCAACCATCCACCCCAACCCTCAACACCGTCGGATATCTGTGTGCCACGATACGTGCGTATGTGTGTCACGATACGTGCGTATGTGTGTGTGTGTGTGTGTGTGTGTGTGTGTGTGTGTGTGTGTTGTGTGTGTCGCACATGCGTGAAATGGTTTTGCTGCTCATAAAACGTGTGTCTATCTTGAACGTAACGGCAACAAAGAGACAGAGAGAGAGAGAGAGAGAGAGGAGAGAGAGAGAGAGACAGAGAGACAGAGAGACAGAGAGACAGAGAGACAGAGAGACAGAGAGACAGAGAGACAGAGAGACAGAGAGACAGAGACAGAGACAGAGAGAGAGAGAGAGAGAGAGAGAGAGAGAGAGAGAGAGAGAGAGAGAGAGAGAGAGAGAGAGAGAAACATTGATGATGTTGAAAGTTGCAGCCCATTTCTTCTTCCATATGTCTGCAAGGTCAAGCGTGGAGGTACGATGGAAGAAATGGATCTGTGAGTAAAGGTACAATCATGCCGAGGGTCTTGGAAAATGGCTTCGGTTCCAACCCCCGCTGATGGTATGAAGTGTGATCCCTCTGTGGACAATGCCAGGGCTAGGAACTGATGGGGTCTACTGTAGTATTCTCAAGACCGACTCACTAAATGACACCGTACATGTGGATCAATTCTTTGGGACGCTGGTGGCACATCCCGATGGATCTAAGACAGGCGGGCGAGGACGTCGCGACCCTGGAATGCGGCTGCCAGGGGCGATGCTTGTGTCGGATCGGCGCTGACCGGGATATCCAACTCCACAGCATCATAGCCTGGTGCTGAAGCACGCACCTTGATGGACTCAAGAGCGGGGCTGTCTCCTTGCAGGATCGTCACGTCGCACGGGGTGGGCGACAGCTGGGCCACAACTGCGCGATCCGCGGCCGAGCCCAGCGCATAGGCCGTTGTTTTGACAAAAGCGCGCGCCAGGCCGTGGTATGCCGCCCGCGTGGGAGCATGGAAGGGAGTGAGTGAGGCAGGGTCGCCATTGTGAGTTCCAAAGACTCGGCCCATGCCGGACACCACCTCAAAGGTGACGGCCACGTTGCTGGTAGGGTCCACCTCTCCCTGGGCATCGAGGATGGCTGCGCGTACCATGGCCATGTCACGGCCATCCATCAATAGCGAACTCCCCGTGCCCGTGCTTGGCGAGGGTGCATCCAGGGACAATTGCAACGCTCCCCGCGGTGCCGGGGTCTGCTTGGTGGATTCCGCCACCACGCGCCCCTGCGCATCCAGGCCACGGGCCGTAATATTACCAGCTGAATATGCCACTGCAGGAAAGTTGACGGCTCCGAAGAAGGGCATGTCAGCCTTGCCCACGACTTTGCCGTTGACAAGCAACTCGACAACAGGCGTGTCGGCATAAACGTTGATGGAACGAGTAGAGCCAATTTTCGGGGGCACCCAAGATTCCACGATAAACACGGTATGGTTGCTATCCAACGCGGGGCGTCCAGCATCACTGCGGGAAATGTTGTTCAGCCACCAGGCTCGAAACCAATAAGCAGTTTCTTTGGTAAATCCAGCCACGTCGCCCAATGTTCCGCGACACTTGATGATCTGAGGCCATCCTTGCGCCTCACCAGGGCTAAGAAGCAAGACAACCGAGGAGACAAGCAAAAAAAAACAACAAAAAAAAAAAAAAACAACAACAAGAAAACAAGAAAATGCAGCGATCGTCGTGCAGAGATGAGTGAAAGCCTCAGCTCGAGATCATGGCATGCATGAAGCACCGGCATCACAACCCCATGCACCACCACACCAAGAATCGCCAATAATAAAGGTCAACCTCTCATGGGACGTATCACTCCTCACTTACTAGTCAAAGCCGCTCCAGACAAAGGTGCCCGCTACAAAGTCGCGGGCATCAGATTCCAGTACTTGATCGGCTGTGCAGTTGGCAATCAGATTATTGTAGAAGAGGCCTGGGCGCGTGGCATTGGCCAACTCCTTGCTTGCGGGAGTCAGGTCGGCGTCCTCGCCGCGCTGGGAGAAGCAGCTGCAGCACTCGGTGGCCATGGTTGGTTTGTTGGGATTGGTCTGATGAAAGGCATCAAAGTCCGAGCCAGATTTGTGTGAGAAACCCTGAATGTCAAGAAAGGCGGTGGACAGATTGGTGCCGTGGTGATTTTGAGTGACCGGGCGCGAGCCGTCCATAGCGTAGGAGATTGCACGAAACGGCTCTGCCGAGCTCTCGTTATCACATCCAACTTCGTTGCAAAAGGACCACGCCATAATGCTAGGATGATTGCGGTCGCGCACAATGAGATCGGCCATGTCCAGCACCTGCTCGGCCGCTGTCTCCTGCGACACGCCACCCTGTTGCTTGGCGCCCCCAAAGTCACGGTTCTCGTCGAGCGCCAAGAGACCAAGCACGTCCATAAAGTTGAGGCGAGCTTCGTAGGGCGGGTTGTGTGCCATGCGCCAGGCATTGCCGCCCACGCTGCGCATCACCTGGGCCCGGAAGAGGTTGATGCGGTCGGGCATGATAGCCCCGGTGGCAAAGACGCTGTGGTCACAAAAACCACGCACCTTGACGTGTTGCTTGTTGAGGTACATGCCGGTGCTGGACTCAAAGGCGATGCTGCGAAAGCCCGTGACGATGCGGGCGGTGTCCAGCACGGCACCGCTCTGTGCGTCTGTCAACGCAAGTCGTGCCTCATACAGGTAGGGCCGGGGGACGGACCAGAGGTTGACGTCTGATTGGGTCCAAGGGATCTGCACCAAGGCCTGGCCTTGAGCGGGCACATCCACTGCCAACGGCGTTGTGATGTTGGCAACAAGCGTGTCATCTTCGGTGTAAAGGGCCAGTGTGGCCAGGACGGACGCAGTCGTGCTCCCCACATTGGTCACATTACTGGAAAAGGTCATGTCGACTGGAGCGCGCACGGCAAAGCCACTGCCTGACATGTTGTTAGTGGCTACGTCTCCACGGAGCCAAGGGGTATCAATTGTGAAATGGAGGGGATTCCCCACGCGCAGCTCAACATCACGCACAATGCCCCCACCCTCGTACCACCAGCCCGAGCCAAAGCTGGCGTTGACATAAATGTAGAGCTGATTCGTGGCGTCTTCACCCATGCGCAGCACGGGTCGGCGCTGCTCATCGAGAACGTTGTCCAGACGGACGTGAAAGGAGGTATAGCCATTGGCGTGATGCCCAATGTGCTGGTTGTTCAGATAAATGTCGGCAATGTGAAAAACGCCGTGAAAATAGAGGTAGATGGCTTGCCCTGCCCAGCTGGCAGGTAGGCTAAACTGGCGCATGTACTGGCCGCTGTTGCGGGCAATGTTGGCCTGTTGCTGGCTATTGTCCACGGAGATGTTTTGCACAATAAGCATGTCATGTGGGGTTGAGACGTTGACCCAGCCCGCATCATCAGCCAGCCCCACGTGCTCGGCAGCAGTTGCGATTGAGCGTGCGGCGGCGGCGGCGTCACCGCCCAGGCGATGCCGCCACCCAAAGTTGAAGTCGTAACTTTGAAGCGCAGCCGCACGCGGCATACAGCCGATCGCGAGCACCAAGACCCCCACAATGGCGATTGCGCGCATTGCCCCGCACTGTCCGACAGCCCCCATGACCATGGTGCAATATGCAAGGCAAGATGACTGCCACTGCCACTGGCACTCCTGGTTTTGTACCACAACAACAACACAAGAAACAAAAAAGTAAAAATAAAAAACAAGATCAAAACTTTCTTGTTGTTGTGTGTTATGGAGGTTTGATTTTGGGGAATGGGGGTTTGCTTCTCTTCACGAATCGATTAGAGGCACCATCTCTTCAGAACAAGAAAAGAGATGAAGGATCAGAGCAGGCAGGAGGTCTGGTATTTATATCGGATGTATAACACACACACGCACACACACAATTAGAGAGGCTAATGTCTCATAGACGCCCCCAGACAGATGGGAGCAGAGACACTTGAAGACACGGTGAAAAAGGTGGAAAGGAGAGCTAGCGCGATCAAGAGAGAAAGACACAAGAGGCGTGACACGACCAACACGTCGCATGCACAGTGGGGCTGGGGCAGGGTATCGGACAAGACTATGAAAAGCGCCCTGCACGCGATAATGTACATAAATCGGTGGGGAAAGAGGGGACACAGACACCTTTTGGGTCAATAAACACAGACATTCAACATGCAAAGAAAGACTGGCGTTGGGCAAAATGCCGCTCAAGCGCGCTCATTACGGTGAGAGGGTCATCTTGCGAACGCCGGGTACAAGTACGCGCTCAGGGCGTGGTCCATATGAACCAGAGCGCGGTCGTCCGGCGGCCACGCTGGGGGCGGTGGTGCCAAGCGCACTGCGCCAATTGTCATCTGCATCCGCACGCTTGTTGGGCTTCCACATGCGCGGTGCCGAACTGGAGCGGGCCTGGCTGGAGCCAAGGTGATGCGGCGGAAGAGTAACGGGTGAGCCAGCCTCCCACTTGGCTGGGGACATGCCTCGACGGCGAGGGGCAGGCGAGCCGCGGGGGGAGTTACTGGGGGAGTCACGGGCCGACGAGCGGCCAGAGCGGGAACCGTTGCTGCGGCTGCCGCTGTCAGTGTTGTAATGGACGACGGGGCCACCGAGGAGGTGTCGACGCGCCTTGAAAGACTTGTAGGCCGTTTCGATTTCGTGGACGCCTTCCGTGTGGTGGAGCTTCTTGAGCCAGTTCAGGGCCGTGCGGAACATCAGCTCGTCGCAGACGTCATCACGCATGCAGTGGTGAAAGTGCTCGAGCAGACCAGCGGCATCACCCTCACGTCCAAATGCGTTGATGACACTGGTGAGGGGAGCAGCGTTGACTTCACAGCCCATAAACTTCATCTGCTCAAGCCAATACAGGCAACGATGCTGGCGGTTTTCAACAGCGTCGTCGGCGATGGCTTGAAGCAAAATGCCCACGACCACGTTATCCACGGCGAGCTCCAGGTCACGGATTGAGGCCACGCAACGCTCAGCCACCAGCGACCCGTGCAGCTTGGCCACATTGCGGACCAAAAAGCCGGCAAGACAAGCACTCCACTCGAGGTCATGCTCGTCGCACACGTCGTGAATCCACTTGATCATGTTCTCGACGTGACTGCCGTAGAGGACCACGAGAGAGCGCATCACGTCCTCGTCCAAACGGGGTTCGCTCTGCCACAGATTGACCAAGGAACGACGGGCATCGTCGTCGCGTCCCAGGTCGTGGTAGGCAAGGATGACGATGGAGACGGTGTGATTACAGGGGCGCAGATTCCAGTGGGGCATGTCTTGCTCAAACAGCTCGACCACGCGCTGGGGCTGCTCGCGGTGCAGATAGAGGCGCATAAAGGCACCCATGGTGGTACCATCGGGGTGAATGTTGCGGGGCTTGAGCTGGCGGAACAGAGCAAGGCCCTCATCCAGGATGTCCTCGTCGATGGTCGTGCAGTGGGCAGCAAGGTAGCCGAGGTAGGTATTAAAACTGATCTTGTCAACCGAGTGCTGGTCGAGGAGCTCGAGAAACTGCTGGTGAAGACGTTTGGCGTCGTTGCACTTGACATAGAGGCCCAGCATGGTATTCCAGGTCGTCTGGTCTGGGTGCAGGGCTGGATCCTCTTGGAGCAAAGCCAGCCATTCACGGGCCTTTTCAGGTTTGCGAGCCTGTACGGCGGCGTTCATGAGCGTGTTGAAGGTATGGGTGTCTGGATTGAGTTCATAGGCGGGAAAGGTGTCGTGGTACAAGTCTTCGGCAGCCTTGTAGTTGCCTTGCTTGGCATGCAGCGCAAGCAGCTTATTAGCAGCAATGACCGTCTTGCGGCGTTCGTCCGGCGTCCAGGCTTCGTGGGCCACCAAATGGCGCTGGAGATTGTTGTACGCGTCACCCAGTTTGGCGGCGCGTTGCTGACTCTTGTTGGCCCGCAGCGTGCGGGGCGAGCCCTGGGGCGAGCCGCTGCGAGACGAAGTCGTGGCCATCATGGTGGTGATGTTGGTCAAAAGGGCCAAGACGGGCAGGAGAAATAAAAGGTGCAGAACAAAAGGACGGAGAGCCCACAAAAGGGCAGGCGCTTGTCAATAATGGTGGGGTGGAAGCGCAAAGCCAATGGGCAACCAGACAAACAGAGAAAAAGGCCTGGTCGAAATGATAAATAGTTTTCCACGCTGTGGCCACCAAAGGTAGGTAGGGGTAGTGGGCGCAGAGCGCAGAGCGAGCTCGTTGAGAGAATGGAAAGGGAAAAAGGGTAGGCAAAGCTGTGCAGCAGAGAAAAAAAATGCCAACAAGAGTCGCGGATGAGCAGAGTTCGGAAGGAGACCGGCACAACAGATTAACATGGGAGGACAAGCGGGAGCGCTGCAAGCAATGGTGGTGGCAGCAAGACGGTGGAGGAGAAGAACGACTCCTTTCAGCATTGCTGAGTCGGGCGATCTGCCCGTCGAGTTGATGAGTGGGGCGGAGGCTTACCGCTGGAAAATGACTGATTCAACGTCGGTTACCCGTGGACCAAGTCGATGGCGTTGAGGTGGCAAAGAGTAGAGGCACGAAACGCGCGCGCAAGCTTGATCGAGTTTACATGTACACATAAACTCGTGTTTGACTGTGTTGGTTGTTAAAAGCAGAAGCAAGCAGAGAGAGAGAGAGAAGAAAGAGAGAAAGAGAGAGAGAAAGAGAGAAAGAGAAAGAGAGAGAGACACACAACACAAGATCAAAAATGCAGGCGCAATGTGTGGGTGTCAGACAAAGGGTCGGTGTCAAGCGCACGCCGCACCAAAACGACCAGGCGATCAAGGGGGGAGGCGCGGGCTGGCTGGCGGAGGCAATGGAGAGGGGAGGTGTGGTTTGTGATTGCCCGGCGACGCAGGACTAGATCGTGGTTATAAAAACAAAGGTGACACCACCACCAGGCAGTGGACAAGGTTGAGGGCGACAAGGGCAATGAGTGTGATTACGATGGGCGCTGGAGTTGCGGCGGCAATGAGGTCGTCGCTGGTTCCAAAGGAAAAATGAATCCAATTCACAGCCACCAGCCGCACCCATCTACCTCGCCTCGCCGCCCGAGTGGTTTAGGTATAGCCAATCCGCACTTGAAGCTTTTTTTTTTTTTTCAAGGACAGAGGAAGAAGCAAACGAGCGAGCATGTGCTGACGGGGCAAATGGTGTCGGGCTTCACCCATGTACCCCTGTCAACGAGATTGCATTCATTAGCATCAGGTACAAAGCACACAACAACACTAAACAAAGTTGAAGCACACGAGCGACCAACCCGTGGCGCGCGAGCGCCACGCCACCTTGTTTCGTTGTTGAGGTATAGTCGTACAGACGGGGTCGTTCGTTGGGCATGACCTCAACGTTCAAAAAAAGAGGAAGAAAAGCCGTCAAGCCCCATCGTCCCGAGATTAACAAAGTCCCCGAGCTGAACGGCCGGCCCCGACTGCCATTTGATCCGGTTTTTTTTTCCTAAGCTCGAGCGCGCCACGTCACCCTTCCTATGGCCATGCACACGTAACACAGTGTTAAAGTTGACACACAAGTCAATTTTTTTGTCGACAATCTTTTCCCGCCCAAAAGGTTGTGTTTGTCGTTGGGCGAGGAGGTTGCAAGTATGCATCCATCTGCGGATGCATCTTCAACGGACGCGGTCATGCGACGCACGCGCGAAAAAGAGGGTACGGCTGTGCGCTCAAGTGTTGCCCAACTGCACAACTCTGGTACGCTCACTCTCCCTCGCTTTGTCCCTCTCTTTGTCAACGACTTGAACGTGTTGGGACAACAATTCATCATTGTCATGCAGACGGGTCCTGTCAGCCCAAACTACTTTGACGTGTAGCCGCACGAGCCAGACATCCCTGCCCAACCCCTGACCAGTTTGCGTTATATCAATGGATAGATGGGACAGAATCTCCGCCCGTCTGCACTTGCTCAGCCTAATGTCTCACGAGCGTCGGGGTGGTCCTTGCAGGAAAACAGGAAAATGCGCTCAGCCCGGCAGATTTCATTGTGAAATTTATCACCCCAACGGCAAGTCGGTCGTGCCAATCAAAGGTCGAATCCACGCCTGAGAAGAGAAGTACCCCCTCTTCTGCAGACCAGCAAGGAGAAAAGAGTGTCAAACGAGAAAACGACAAACAACAGCTCTAGCTGGTGGGTGCCTTGGCAGGAGCCTTGGCACCCATGCGGGACGGGTCCATGGATGGGTAAGCCATGCCGGGACGACCTGCAGTGCATTCAAGAGAGTGGGTAGTCATGAGCTCGAGCCAGCCTCGGTGCAGTCCCAAAAATATCGCCTCTCAGTCCCTGCTTTGTCACATCTGGCCCCCTGTCCCCATTGATTGCAAATGCCTCTCAAACCAAGCTTCGCAAACATACCTCCGACCATGCCGGGAGGCGGAGCAAGACCAAGGCCCGGGGGAAGCGCGCCCGCCCCAGGCGCTCCTGGGGGCGGGGCCATGCCAAACCCGGGCGGCAAACCAAAGCCCGGTAGAGCCGGTACGGCGACCGAGGGTGCTGCGCCGCCGCGCCCACCGCTGTTGTTGTTGCTACGGGCCTTGCCCCACATCACACGCAGTGGCTCCCCCTTGATGATGCAGTTGACGGCCGCAATTTCCATGGCTTGCTCGGCACCCTCGCGCCTGAGTGGAAGAACACAGGCAAAAAAAAAGGGGGGGAAGGAAGGAAAAAAAAGAAAGATGACGTTAACCATGAGCGCCTTGTCCCTATCGTTCCCATGGTTCATCGGGACCCAAGCCGGAGACAACAGTGGCTAGAGATATAAGAACATACGTGGCAAACTCGACAAAGGCCGCGGATTGCTTGGGGGCCAATCGAACAGCAGCCACCTGGCTGTGCTTTTCAAAGTAATCACGGAGGTCATCGGCTGTAATGTTCAGGTCTGGCCGTACGCCGCCAATGTACAACGTCGTAATGCTGGTATCGGCGGGAGCCTCGGCCTTGGGCCGTGCTGCTCACACGGGCCAAGAATGAGTGCCGACAAAGATGAGCCACCAATCAGAGAGAAAGTTGCGAGCGAAAATACGGTGCGACGGCTTGATACGATCAAACCATCATGGATAAGGAAGAGCGTACATTGAATCTTCTTGAGATACTTCTCTGCGACGGGATCCTCCGTGCCGTGGTAGCGACCCATGAGGTTCTGCTTGGCCAAAGGATTCTTCGGGTCCGTGGGCATCTCGTGTCTGGAACACAAACAGCAGTGAGGGCGAGAACGTCACAAAATCAGCTGACAATCAGCACAAGCGCGCGGTAGATGCGGGAGGGTGCTCGTAGAGAGAGGCCTGACCGGAAAGGACAGGTGTCACCGCGCGTGCATTGGCCCTTGACCCAGAACGAGCAAATCCGGGCTTCGTTGCGTTTGTAGTAAGGCCCGCGCGCCTTGAGGCGCTCAAGGATGGCCCGCCCAGCTGCCAGCTTGCCGCCTGCGGGACCTCCTGCTGCATCCCCACCACCCGTGATGGCCAACGCTGACGACTGGTTAAAGGCATTGTGTCCTGGATTTGCAAAGCCCGCCATTATCGCAAGGGATCAGACAAGGGCCAACAAAGGAGAGTGCAGACCACCACCAAGCTTGAGCAGCAGGCCACCTGCCTCCCCGCGGGCAGATGACGACAACGCACCCTCAATCTGTGCAAACTTTGCCTCTTGGTTCTGAATGTAGTACTCCTTGTTCACGGCTGACTCGGGCAGGGCCTGTTCCTGACCCAGCAGACGATCACGCAGTTGGACAGGAACGCCTACGAACCATTCCGTACCAACACGCGTCAAAAAAACACCTGGATCAAAAACTGGCAAGCCCCCACACGGGTCAGAAGAAGCAAGGCAGGCGAACCATATTCGAGATCCAGGACGCAGGTCTGGCAAACGTTTTTGATCTTGGCACACGTCTGACACAACTCTGTCTTTTTGAAGCGCGAGCCTTTGCCTGGTTGCCACCTGCACAATCAAATGCGTGGTTGGTTGGCATGGTGTGCGCATGAGCACACAAAGCAGGAGACGTGATATGCGACGGATGCCCCGTCCCAAGGTTTGTCTGTAGTAGCCCCGTGAAGCACGGGCCAATGATGACAGCCTAGCCGAGCCACAATCCTACCTAAAGACGGTAAAGGGACGTTCACACACTTTGCAAGCCTGCAACACCAGCAAGAGGTTGTGGGAGAAAGGGGCGGACGTGAGCGGGCGGTGTCGAGACTCGGGAGGAGCGAGCGTGCGCGATGCAACCGGTCGTTGCTCAACGTCCTGCAGCTCGCGCCACGGACCACCGCGACCCAACACATACCGAGCCAAAAGCTTCCTTGGTCATGCGAACATAGGGATTGGGACCCAGGCATGTCTCACAGACAATGGGGAACTCAGCCGACTCCCATGCCTGCCGATTCAAATGGTTTGTATCGCGCGACGAGGCCGACATGGTTTCTTGTGACCTCGAAAAAAAAAAAAGAGAGCGAAGAGAGAGAGAGAGAGAGAGAGAGAGAGAAAGAGAGAGAGAGAGAGAGCAGCTCAAAACACGCTTTCAAGCGAAAAGTTTTGGTTCCGAGCCAAATTTCATCTGACAAAATCTCTTCTCTGTCTCATTTTGTTGTCAACGACCAAGAGAGCAACAAGCTCTTACAAAAGCAAACGCTGTTGGACCGCGCCAACTTCTCGGTGACGGTGGCGGTGACGGTGGCGCAGTGGCAGTGGCAATAGGTTGAATCGGCGGGCAGCAGCGGTATGTTGGACGGCACAGCAGGCTTGTTTGGTGGTGGTGGTGGCGACGGGTATTGACGTGCTTCGGGTTTGGAAAGTGAGAGCGTATGATCGACATTTTTTGATCAAGTGACTTATTGCGCCTGAGCTAGAGGCAGCTTCAAGGCCGAACCGTCCAGGATGAAGCTGGTCGTGTACAACCTCGAGGCCGAGCCCGTGGAGTTGCAGGTCGATGGGCAGGACACCTGTCAGCAGCTACTAGTGAGGCTTTCAAAGCTTGGCCTGGCTCAAGATGACTGCCAACTCGTACCTGTATGTCCTCCAGTGCAGCGCGGCCTTCAGTTGCGCATTGTTGGGCCGTGTCGGCTGCCTGACTTTGGTGACGTCAATGCTCTCCCTTCCTAGCTCTCGGCTCCAAGTCGAGGCGTCATTCCCTTGGACAGCGTTGCTGTCCAACACCAAACCCTCTCGCAGGCGGGCCTCCAAGACCAAGGTTGGCGGTCCAAGCCTCCGACAAGAGCCTGACCCCAAACCACTCCAGCTCAACACCATTTGTATGCACATAGACCACTTGTCCATCACTCCAAGTTTGAACTGGTCCCCCAAACCTGTGCCCGAGGTGTGTTGATGACCAGACTGAGCCAGGGCACGCGTCAACTGAATGCATGCATTGACCACTGAATGTGATACATTGGCCCACACCACTCACCTGTTTACATCTTTGATGCTTCCAGCCAAAGCCAATCACGAGCATGCAAATGCGACGCTTCACCATGTCGCTGACGGCCAGTATGTATCCGCCCAATAGCCGCCAGTTCAGATTGCTTGCCGTTTTTTGCTGGCCAGCGCTGGCATGCCCTCCAAACGCCGCTGGCCGTACGTGCATGAGTTAGCACATTACTGACGACGACCCACGCGTTGCCCCCGATGTACAGCGAATCGTGGCAACCGAACGGGTCGCACCCTAAAGGCCCACAAACCCCGATTTGGGGGGCAGGAACTCGACTTTCACGGCCAAGTATGTAAAGTTTGTATCGTGCCTCGCTTTGCTCCCTTTTCGTTATTTTCTTTCTTTCTTTTTGTCCTCAGTAATGGCCAACCCAAATGTCACTCACGATGCCCCTTCCCCGTTTGTGGAATCACCCTACTTTGAACTCCCTCTCGTTTGAATTCCCAGCTCATGGCTGTCGTTTCGACCATGCACAGTCTCGCCTGCCAGCTTCAGCAAGAGCTGGGTGTCTACACACCTGAAGAAGGTGCAGCTGTTTGCCCATCTTGTTCCATTGCTCGCCTTCATTCTGCGGTGCACTTGTCAGCATGAGCTTTCTTTTGGCGTGCGTGTAGATGCAACACCGGAAGATGCCACTGACGAAGACGCCACTCCGTTTGACCCGCGCTCTACTGTCAACGAGGTGTGGTCTTGTGTTGGCTGCTATCGCTCGCATGTTTGGTCTGTTGGCTATAAAGCTAGTGGTCGTATATACGTGTCATGCTGACATATGAGCTGTTCTGCAACGACTGGTCTGGACCTGCCACATAGGATGCCCTCGCTTCTCTCACGAATATGGGTTTTCCTGAGCTGCGCAGCATCCGTGCCCTTCGTGCGACAGAGTATGATCGAGCTGGCATCGCTTTTAGTGTCCAGCTTCCTGTCCGCGCGACTTCTTTTGAATCTGCTCACTTGATACTTGGATGATCTCACCTTCTTCTCGCCCCTTCGTCGTGCCCCTTTCCTTTGCCCTTGCCTGTACTTTCTTTTCTAACTTGTTTTGGCTACTGACAGCATGAACGTGGAAGCGGCTCTGGTGTGGCTTCTGGATACCGAAGCAGATCCGTCATTGGACCGCCCCATCACCCCGCCTCCCAAGCCTGTCGTTCTGCGCTCTGGCCAGCGCTTTCAACCCGATGCCGCCGTACGTAGGCATGTCCAGATGTCTCCGCCATGCAGCCAAGTAGCCAAATATCCAGTGACCTCGCGTGGTCTGGCATTTGTTGCATCTCGCGTTGGCCCCTTCTTCTCCCTGCTACTCGTGCCGGGGGTTTGGGGGGGATCATAGGCCTATCAAAACCTCATGGAGATGGGCTTTTCCCATGATAATGTCGTGGCCGCTTTACAACTCACGCGAAACAATCGTCCCCAAGCGGTATGCTCAAGCTCTCTGCCTTTACACTCAATGAGTGGTACATTCACGCACGTTGCTGTTCACGTGGGTCCACGACCTGGTTTAGATTCACCTCCTCCTCTCGGGAGCAGACCTGGAAGCCCAGGCAGAAGCACTGCAAAATGTCAAAGCAGAACCAGACAAGTTCGTGCGCTCACCACCTCTTGCGGCATCTGCCTTGCCATCTCTGTTTTCACTGACAGCGTTTTCGTACCGTTTTGCGAATTAACCAGCCCCATCATTCTCAAGATCTTGGATGATCCTTTGGTGTTGGACTCTTTGCGTTTGCCGCGTCTACGAGAGGCCTTTGAGCAAATTCTTCAGGATGTGCAGACAGCGCCTGCTTTGCTCAACGACGGCCTTGTTGGCAGCGCTTTGATCCGCATTGTCAAAGTATGTAACTCTGTGTGTGTGGATTTGTAGTAGTTGTTGTTATTGTTGTTCATCTCGTTGGGGAGGGACATGCATGAGTGATGTTGAAGGGTGAGCTTCAAGGGACTCTGCACTCACTTTGCGAGTCTGATGTGGTTCTTTTTGGCGCTTGAGTAGCTGGTACAGTCATATGAGGAGGAGGAGGAGGAGGAGGAGGAAATTCCCTCAGCAGCGGCTAGTACAGAGGAGCCCATGCAAGTTGCCGAGGCTGACCATCATCAAACTGCAGGGGAATTCACTTCTTCACCTCCTATGCGGGAGCCGTCTCGCCGCTTTTTGCTGCGATCCCCGACGGGTGAAGAGCCAGCCCACTTTTTTCCTTCTTCTGATGAGGAGAGCGATGACGCTGAGCGTTTTTGGGACAGTCTTGTTGACAGACATGCCGAAGAGAGCTCTCCATGGCAGCTTGCATCCCCGGTTGACGAGGCCTTGGATACGGATGCAGATGAGGATGATCAGAATGCAGACCATGATGAGGGCAGAGACGTGGACATGAGCTGAACTCTATGCCTCCACCCGCAAATCGACCTGTGCTTTCCTGTTGAATTGTTTGCTGAGCATGTTAGGATCTAGTTAATGCAGAAACACGCCCAGCTCATGCAGTCTTCTAGCTCTCCTCAATGTTTCTTTTTCATTTTTTCGACACAAAATAACGTCAGCAAACATGTCAACGCCCCTGAGGCACACACAACCACGCAGGGTTTGGCAATGGGCCAAATGTAAAACATCAACAAACAACGTAGGCTTGAGAGTTATAAGAGCAAGAAGAGCCAGGCAAGATCTTAAAGAGCACGCGTTCCTCGGTCCTCTTGTACTCCCTTCTGTGCTGTGTGCTGTGTGCTGTGCGAGAGGTGCATGTTCCTTGTTGAGTCCAGGTGGAGGGACTCTATGTGAGGTTGCTGGTACTGAACCAGTGCTAATAGTTCCGATTGGATTTGTTGTTGCTGGGCGGCTCTGTCGTGTACACCACCCTCACACGCACTCACACTCACATGTTCTACACCTGTAACTGAAGGAGTGTGGCTTTGGGGTTGTTGTTGATGGGATCACGACGACAGAAATACTTTGGCGCCTGGGTTCGAGGCCCGACTGGCCCCTGTTGACGCTTGTGAACCGTGCCTCTAATCTCAACCCCTCTCGCCGTCGACCACCTCCCAAGGCTTCGAGGGAAGAAACGGCAACCTTCACCCCACAGCGGGAGTTGACTACTCTTGGGTGACTGTGATGCCATCTCTGTGTAGGGCCATCGGCAACGAGTGATGGCTTTGAAAAGCCGACATTTGTAGCATATGGGACCGGTCTGACCATGAATATAGTGGTAGGACAAGAAGAGCTGGCCGACGATTCAGGTGCCTTTAAAGATGACGCTCTCGACGATACCGATCCGTTAGCAAACGGAGCTCTCGATGGTGATGATTTGTTTCAAGATGATGCCTTCGACGATGACACCGATGGATCCTTCGTACAAGGTTCGTGTTGTGTGGCTTGGGCTCTCCTTTTCTTGCCAAAACGCTCGGTCTGAGATTAGCCTGTGATCATGTAGAATAAGCTCTGTCAACTTGGTGGCAACGTTTGGCGTGCATCGAGGAATTTCCCGGCTTCACTCACATGCAACATCACGATCTTGAAGATGTCTCTCTCTCTCTCTCTCTCTCTCTGTCTCTGTGTCCCATTGCCTTTCCTATGTCTCTGCTTCGATTGGAATTGATGTGTGTGCAAAACATGCGGATTTTCTTGCTAGAGCCCTTGCTTGATGGCCAACGCTTGGGCTTGGGGAACAGGCGCATAATCTTGAAAGTGCATATGAAAGCTTCCTCTGTACCCAGGCACACAAGTATGAGGTAGGGTGGGCCGGTTGCATCAGACACGCGCGGTGGGCGAGATCTAGCTCTGACCTGCCATGTGTAACGGAGCGCAAGGCGGCGGCGTAGCCAATCATGGTTGAAATCGGCACCTAAAACAAGCAGAGTTTGGTTGTCAGGCACGATGCCGGAGTGCAGATTGCACACGCAGTGCACACAGGCGAACATGGCCTACCTCAGCTTCGACGATGCGCATATCTCCCAATGAGGACAAGTCACCAACTGCAGCCATGCGATTGGAGCTAAAAAGTATTTTTGCATGATTGAGCGACGAGGCAACTTGGGTTGTGGGGGCCTGCTGAGCATGGTAGCAGGTCATGGCAAGCACGGACGCGGACGTACGAGAGATCATTGAGAACGTTTCCAACCATCTCATCTGGCACCTCGACGCGCAGCGCCATTATGGGTTGCAAAAGCTACAATTCATCATTCGAGCAAAGCATGCAAAGTAAGTAAGTAAGACGCGAGCGATCTGGTATTCAAACCCATGAGAGCTCTGGTTTGGTGCTTACTTCACACCCTCCCTCTCGCAACGCCTGGCGGGCTGCATTAACAAGAGCATTTGCAAGAAGGCTCGCCGGGACTCCGATTGCAAAATCAAGATCCTTCTGTATCAAACCGAACAAAGCAGGCGAATGAGAGCGCATGGCGCCCAGTTTGCAGTGTCAGCTTTGGCGCTTGGGCGGAGAAACTAGCTGCGTACCACGATGAGCCGGCTGTTTCGCATGGGATAACCCATGAAAGCGCCTCGCGACATGGCGGCTCGTGCCGCTGACACCAAAGTTTCCAGTGTCACGGCCTCTTGCTCTATATGCAATCCGGGGCTTGTGAGAGATGATCAAGAAGATGAAATCACCCCACGCTCGACTTTGTGGTAAAGCAAGTCACACCTCCAAAAGCCTCAACGATCCGGGCGCGCACACCCGGTGCCAGGACGGGATCGGGGTGCGTTGTATCAGGCGTGGGCTCGACCGTAACGGTAGCCGTTGCAGACTAAGTATGTGCAGCGTCGAATGTGAATGGATGCTGTGTACACTTCCTCGTGCTCAGCCGGAAAAGCAAGCACAGACCATGTCAACGCCTTGGATATTTCGGGTCAGCTCTCTTGTAACCGTCATTGGTGCTCCTACCCGTTCGCGGTATGCCACGCGCAGCTTGCCTGGAGCGCCACCAAACGCCGTCACCACATACATCTCAAAACTCGAACAAATGCAAATGCAAAACGCTTTGGCTCCATTCATGGCGATCCGACGAACCTGCTTCAACCACGACCTTGTATTCTTCCAAGAGTCGTGAGCGAACGATTTCAAGATGAAGCTCGCCCATGCCTAACAAGGACAAGCGTCTGTAAGCATCAGTGTGCCCAGAGATGAAATGAAACACAGTTGGACGATGCAGAGCACACCACTCAAAACCGTTTGACCGGTCTCTTCGTCCACATGGACCCGCAGGCTGGGGTCCTCGCGGATCATAGCGGCAAGTGCAGCGTCTAGGCTGGCCTGGGAACGACAACGAAAAAAAAAATCATGGAAGAAGCATCAAGCCCATTGACCACGCGTGCATCAACATTCCCCTGAAGCGAGGTTTGCGACCAGCAGACCTGAGCAGAGACAGTTTCTGGCTCTACGACACAGCTAAAAACAGGCTCTGGAATATTGATGCCGTGTAGCCTGGCAGTAAGCAGCTTCTTGGGCTTGCTGTGGGCATCAACCAAGGTATCCCCACTGTACGTATGCTGTTGAAGTGGACATGTATGAGATGGATGGCTGGCTTGTATACAGACTATGACACCAAGCACGCTAATATACCTTGAGGCCGACGAGCGCAGCAATGTGACCAGCATGAACTGCATCAATCTCTTCATGACTGCGATAAACGTGAGAAGGCGTAGCATCAGACGGCCTCGAGTCAAGGGAGCACTGGATGATGACCAGTGCAGATCGACCAACCTATCAGCATGGATGCGCATCACGCGGGTGGCTCGCTCCTTGACCTGGCGAGTGCTGTTGACGAGCACTGCCCGACTATGCAAAACTATGGCCCAGAATGGAAGGACCACACGAGCAGGGCATCAAAACATCCGAAGGACAGCTGGCAGTAACAAAGGGGGGTGAATATGAAGAATCTATCAGGCAACCGACATACCACCGCTGTAGATGCGAGCAAACACGATCGGACCTCGGTGGGGATCTTGTACCACCTGACCAGCACATTGGTGTCAGACATCATTTACAACACGCCCCATCAAAGCGAGATCAAAGCGAGGCAGCTTGAAGGATGAGGATCAGAAATAAGGCTTGAATACCTTGAAGGCCAACGCAGACAGGGGCTGTTGATCCTCGGCTGGCAACGTCATGACTTCATTCTCAAGAAGAAGCTGGATAGCCATCAAAGAATGCGCTCGAGCGATGAGGGTACTGCGTCGCCCATTCCAAGTTTGAAGAAACCGTCTGTTCTTTGGTCAAAGTCGACGCTTGACTGACCTCAACGGGAGGGCGATCAAGGGGGCTTGGTAGATAGTCAGCCATGGCATCAAGCAAGGGCTCCACACCCTATTTGTCATGCAACTCAGACTATCAGCCAAGAGCTAGGCGAGACATCAATCTATCCAACGACTAACAACGATCCGACCTTTTCGCGGCGGGCAGCTCCACACAAAATAGGAAGGCCTTCGCGAGCCAATGTGACGCGACGCAGTGCGGCTGTGAGCTGCTCTGGACCAATGGCATCTGTATCCAGCTGCAAGGTGCGTCATTGTTGCAGTTGTGATGAATAGCTGAGCTGAACAGGCTGCGCCACACTTTGAACCGCGCAGTCAAGATGGCGAGCACCGACGTACATCATCCACCTCCAGAAGTTCTTCGGCAAGTTCCTCGTCCACTAGGGTGAGCGCATCAACCAATGCAGCACGCCCCTGCGATGTGCAAGGCAAATGTGTCAATGCTGAGCAGCAGCCAACAAAACAGCAGGATATGCAGATGCAGATGCAGCACATCGCAACAACAAACCTCTGAAAAGATGCTTTGTTGGGCTGGCCCCAAGGCTTCGACGGTCATGGCTGTGGGCAAGATTGGACAGACAATCTGAGCACACATCGAATGGCATTCGTCGCAGACCTGTTTGACCAGAGCTAAACGCACCGCCATTGTTCCAACGATATTCCCGAGCATGAACCAAATCCACGACCACCTCCAGGCCTCCTTCGGGCGAGCTGTGTGTCCGTGCAAGAGGACCAGAGGGGGGTCGACTTGGTTGAAACAGAAAAAAGAAACAAAAATGCAAAACATGATATATCATGCAGACCACCCAAGCACATACGTAACGGGGACTTGCAGCACAAGCGGGTTGCGCTTGAGTTTGTTGCGCACCGAGTCGACCTGTCATCAAGATGGGTTGCGTGGTGAGCAAGGAAGCAGGAAGCACATGAAGACATCTTGGCTATGTAGCCGTGACAGGACGACGCACTGTCATTGAAAAGTCAGCGCCCAAACGGTCGAGTTTGTTTACGAAAGCAATGACCGGCACATTATACTAGAAGTTGCAGCAGACAGAAATGAGCCTCGGCGAGCTGCCTCCAAAACTAGGCAGCTGCTATGTAACAGGGGAGCAACGTACACGATCGGCCTGTGACATGACTTTGATGGTCTGTGCTTCAACACCAGCAACGCCATCTAGCACCAAGACAGCGCCATCGAGCACACTACATAGGATGGGCACAAAGTGAAATGGTTAGATGAGTCACAGCTCAGCACTCAGCACTTGTAGCAATTTGGCACTATTGAGAAGCAGTGATGTACCGGAGTGCCCGTTCCACTTCGAGGGTAAAGTCAACGTGGCCCGGAGTGTCAATCAGATTGAACTGGGTTGAGCCCCAATGGAAGGTGGTCGCTGCGGAGACAATCGTGATGCCGCGCTCGCGCTCGTCTTTGAGATAGTCCATCTGCGTGTTGCCATCATCCACGGTGCCAATGACTACACGAGAGAGCAGGAATGGGATGCGAGGATCAGCTTTATTATGTGGCTTGCAGAGTTTCTAGCCCCGGAATGGGCTCAGATTGAAGGATGGTTTGCGTGAGTGTGTGCCCCGAGGGTCAAACGAGATGGGCCAGTATTGGTATGTGAATTTACCTCGTGTGACCCCAGCAAGACACAACATGCGTTCCGTCCTAAGGGTCCAGCAGGACCATGTGCAGGGGCGGAGAGTCACAGTAATGTGAGCAAGTTCCAGAGTGATTGCCATATGGAAGAACAGGGCTCACTCAACACGCACGTGGTGGTCTTGCCGGCATCAATGTGAGCGACAATGCCAACATTGCGCACGTGGCTGAGCTGGATATCGTTAGGGTCCGACGCTACGATGCGGCCAAAAGGGTTGGTGCAACAAGAAGGGACTTCTGCAGGAACCCAGCTGCCCAATTCACGGCGTACCTTGTGTTTTTGCGTGACGCACGGCGCGTCGAGACAGAGCGAACATGCCTGCGGACAAGGGTCGTGGTGCGCGACCCCCAAGCTGAGGCAAGACAGCCCGTGCTGCAAATGTCGCCATTCCAACCATCCTGCCGGCAGAAAACAGGACACCCTCCAAACGCCTCGCCTTTGTCCCTGCCTTATCGGGCTTGAGCTAGGGCTGTTTCACACCCCCGCTAAGCTGACCAAAGCGCCTCCGCCGCCTCCACCAGCGACACCGTCCTTGGGCACTTATGACCTTTTTTTTTTTTTTTTTTGTCGACAAAAAAAAAAATTGTCGAAAATGGTGTTGGCGGAAGTGTAGCATTTGTTACAGTTTTGGTAAAAAAGGCTCCGATGGCGATGGCGGCGAGATTGCAGGCTTGGGTGGTGGGGGGGAGGGGGATGAGGGGCGATGTGCGCCGAAAGAGCGCGTCTTGGATCGACGCAGGAGGGTCGACCAGAAGTGAATATGGGGATAGGAGTCCCAAGGGTCATGCAATTGAGAGGTAGAGATGCAGATGAAAAATGCAGCAGTGTGTCGAGCTGGATTCGACGCTTGAAAGGGTGATACTGCTAGTCTCGGAGACGACCACTGACCACGGCAAGGTAGCCATCACAGCGGAACTGGACCGTCACGTTGAGCAAAGTCACGCCAGACCCCAGTAAATGCAGAGGCAAAGGAAGCTGTGCACAGGTTAATGTCGTGCCAGAGGTGTCATAACGTACGGGGCCGGCCACAAAAGTGGCTGTGGGGACACTAGACAGGTTGAGGGCGTGGCCATTTATGTGTATGGACTGAGGCCAAAAACAAGGGACTCCAGCTGCGTCGCTCCCATTGTGCGTACTTGTGGAGACACGAAGTTCACCTGAAGACCAACCATCCAACGGCCGTGGTGCCGGCAGGCTCAGCTGGGCCTGTGCGGTCGCATTTGCAGCCACTGGTGTGACAATGTGCGCCGAGTCGTACATTGTGTATTCAGTCACGGTGCGGTGCAGCTCGGATTGGCGCAGCCAGGAGATGATGCAGGTGGCATTTGGAGTGAGGTTCAAGCTCGCTGTTCCATCGATGGGGCTCGAAGAAACTGAAGTAGCAACCAAGATGGGAGCCTGTTCAGGAGCACTCCACTGGAGGCATCGTGCCTCTCCGTGAGAGAGGTTGAGCTGGGGGAATTGGAGTTGTACCGGCGTATTGATCGCCAAGTCGTTATGGAGCGCTACAAACAGGTGGCTTGCGTTGGTCGCAGCCACGACAGGAAGCGAGGCACTGCTACTTGTGGCGGTGAGCCAGGCTCCTTCAAAATCGCGCCAAAGTGGGTAGAACAAGGCCAGGTAGGTGTCCTGGTAGGTACCTACAGCCAGACCGAAAATGCGTTTTCTAGTCTGAGCTCAGGCAGACCAAGCACTCCAGCAACTGCCGCAAAGTGACATGACCGGGACAAACCAGAAACGTTACGCCATAGTGCGTATGGATACGAATAGCTGGCATTGGGAGGTCGATACCAAGTAGCTCCATCGAGAATAAAGGGCACAGCCTATGAAGCCCGGGATCAGGAGCTGGTGAAGATGCCCCAAGACCTCCATTTCTCAGCGTACCTTTTGCACCAAGGCCGGCTGCTGTAGCCACCGCAGAAGCTTGTTGTTGATTTCACGAAGAACATTCCATTGCGAGGCGCTCGAGTAAAACACGGCGTCCGGCTGACCATTGACATTCAAAACATTGAGTATCGTGGCTTGAAACTCTGGCCCGACGCGTTGGCAAGCACCACGAGCCAAACTTCTGGTTGTTGGCTCGTATCGTCTCACCTCAAAACTAAGACCATACTCGCTAATCACTTGGGGCAACAAGCGCTGTTGATAGTGCAGGGAACTGGCGGCCATAAGGTCTACCAGTGCCTGAACATCAAGCCGGCGTGGTAAGCACACCAAAGGCAAGCAAACAAAAACGGCGACATTTAGAGCAAAAGCCAAAGACGGTAGCAGACCAAGACATTACTGCCAGCACGAGGTACGGTATCAGAGGGATCTTGAGAGCGCTGCGTGCTGTAGACGTGGTAAGTCAAGTAGTCAATTGATGGCGCCAGTTGCAAAAAGGGCACCGTCGTCTCGTTCCACACCTGCGCTTCGGGAAACAAGGAAAGCGCAAAGCACAGCTGATGAGAAGAAATGGCTAGGCGCGAGTGCTTCCACAACGCATTGTCTCAGCAGCAGACCAAGGATGAAGGATCCACATTGAGTGCATGTACGACGCACGCGAAAGTTCTTCAGCTGAAACTCTGGAAAGGCCAGCGTTGGTCCGCCCACGAGAAAACTCGCTAGCAGCATGGCAGGAGAAGTGAGCGCGCAACATCAGAATAAATGACCGCCAATGTCAACTCCATGCCAAACCTGTGGGTGTGGGCGGATAGTCGTGATGGATACGATCAGCAATGGCCTGGTGCAATGCGATGAGCTGCTTCCAGGTACGGTTCACTTCTGCCAGGTGGACGTCGCACTCGTTGGCAACTTCCAAGTAGCGCACACTCTGCACATGACACACATCTCAAGTGCCAATAAAGAACCGAGTGGCCAACCCTAGGCTTGATTCCTAAGCGAAAGCGGGTGGATGCAGCACGACAGACCTGATTCGTGGGATAGAGGCAGTTGGCAACGTAAGCCGACCAAAAGTCAGCTGCGCCTTGGTCGTTCAAGGGGACGTATCCCGTGCCGGTAGCCGGGTAGTAATTGTCAATCTGAACAAGCACGAAGACCAAGCATGAAAGCAACACGGTCGCTCATGGCAGCAACTCTCAAGAAGAACGGCGACCAGGACAACGGCTGGGAACTAGCCTTGGCGCTCGTAATGAGCTGCACGTGGGGCCCAGTCCAGTTGTTGAGGTGCCGCGGGGCCACCGTCGTGCAGTAGGCACGAAGATGACTGCGATCAACCAAGTTGGGATTTGAGGCGTTGGGACGCGACTGTGACATGGTATATGAGACGGCAAAGTCACGACCCAAGCTGGCCCGTTCCAAGCCTTGATAGCGCGCAGTCAAGGTGCTGTTCCACGCCCCGCTGGGATTGGCATGAATGTTGAAAGCCTGTCGCCGATCGACTGAGCTTGAGGTGCGCTCGGCCGAGCGATGCGTGAGCGCGTTGGGCGCAATGGTGACGACCACGATTGGCCTGGTCGCTGCAAATGAGGCCAACGCTACCAGTGACAAGAAAAGCCAAGGCCACGGCCTCACCATCACCATCATGTTGGGTTGTTGCAAAGCTTTGACGTCTCGAGGATAAAAGCCAGGCAACCCTTACACCGGGTAGTTGGCTCGTTTGTGTCACAACGCCGGCCAATAACCCATCAACAGCCCATCAACAGCTGAGTAACAACACATGCAGCCCCTATCACACCCGCCGATGCGGTCAGAAACGCGCTTCCATCTCATGATCAGGTTTGTTGATAAGCCGTTTCATGTCCGCAGTTTCAGCTCTCTCTCTCTCTCTCAAACTCTCTATCAAACTCTCAAACTCTCAAACCTCTTCTCTTTGTGGGAGTTGTGCTTTTCCTTTGTGTCTTTGCTCTTTATTTCTCTCTCTCTCAAACCGACCAAACCAATTCATTTCTCTCTCTCTCTCTCTCTTTCTCTCTTTCTCTCTCTCTCTCTTTCTCTCTCTCTCTCTTTCTCTCTTTCTCTCTCTCTCTCTCTCTCTTTCTCTCTCTCACAGTGATTCCAGTAACTGTTTTTTTGTTTTTTTTTGAAAGAGAGAGAAAAAAAGAGATCACTGGGATGGCAGATCGACGTCGCGCCATGTCGGACAGTGAGGCTGGAAAGAAGGTGGCCCTTGTTACCGGGGGCAGTCGCGGTATTGGTAAGTCTGGGCATTGTGACGGGCAAGGGTACGACTGCGCTGTCAGCACGGCGCGATGGCTCTTATGACAAGCAAAAAAAATGCGCTGCTTGCTGCACATAATCATCGCAGGCGCGGCGACCTGCCGGCTTCTTGGAGCCGAAGGCTATGCTGTTGCCATCAACTATCGCTCCAACAAGGCAGAGGCTGAGAAGGTATGTCTGTCTGCCTTTCAGGCCACTGCTGTATTGGTTCATGGGTCGGTGGAGGCAGCTGGGGTGACGGTCCCATCAAGGGACGGCTCCAAAGGCCGTGCGTATTGACCCATTGGCTCTTCTCGGACGCGCATTTGTAGGTCAAAGGCGCTGTCGAGGCTGCCGGTGGCAAAGCCATTATCGTGCAGGTGCGTGTCAGACTCACACAACCCTGTACGCTGTTACTGTCGGTGTCACTCACGGCCTGCGCGTCAACGCGCAGGCCGATGTCAGTCGGGCAGAGGATGTCCAGCGCATGTTTCGAGAGGTGGACGAGCAGCTGGGTACGTACCGTTGCCCTGAAGACTGGTAAACAGAGGCAGTGGCTGTGCGAACGTCTCATGCAAGGGAGATCTCGCCGGGTGCAACAGGACCGCTGACGGCCTTGGTGAACAATGCTGGCATCATGGGCAAGAAAGGCCCACTATCGGACTTGGCTCCCGCGGATATTGAGGCAATCTTTGCCACCAATGCAGTGTGTATACTAATGACAACCAGTTCTGTGCGCCGTCGCGTTTGAGGCAGCTCACAGGACTCTTGATACCCGGCCCGTACTGTGATGCAGTTTGGGCCGATCATGTGCTGCCAGGAAGCACAGCGTCGCATGTCCACCAAACTCGGTGGCCATGGTGGTGCCATCGTCAACGTGTCTTCTGGTAAGCAGCTCCCGGTGATGGCGTTCTTGTGTGGATTGATGTTGCTGTATCTCTATGACGCTGTCATTATGTTTCTGTGACTCCATGTCTGTGCTTCGGATGTGCCTGTGCGTCTGTATGTCTGTATGAGTGCGCGTGTGGCGCGTCATCGTCAGTATTAAAGCCGAGCTCATACCATGCTGTCACCGTCTCACCCCAGGCTCGGCATACATTGGCACGCCAAACCGGGCTGTCCTCTACGGAACGACCAAGGGAGCTCTCAACAGGTGCCGTGCCCGATGCCTGTTCCGCTGGCACTTGCCAAGCGCAAGCCTGCCTTGTAAAAAAGCGCTGTTGCAGACCGGAAACTGATGTGCCCGTTGAGCCAGTTTTACGATTGGCTTCTCGCAGGAGGTGGCTAAGGAAGGCATTCGTGTCAATACCGTCTCCCCTGGTATGCCGGTGCCTGATCCACTGCCAGAGACCCGTTCTCTGCATTGATGCATTGTTTTGTGTGCATGTGTCTGTATGTATGTGTCTGTGTGTCTTAGGCTTCACCTCGACAGACATGGTGGCAGACGTGGATGCAGAGCACGTAGCCAAAGCCATCCCCATGGGCCGTCCAGGTATGCCTTTTGTATCACACGCCGCGTGGCCGCACTTGCATCCCTCGAGCGATACTTTTGTTGGGTTCATGCTCGCCTGTGGAAATCGTGTACCCCATGCCAGCTGCACCCGACGAGATTGCGCAAAACATTGTGTATTTGCTGTCGGACAAAGCGAGTTACGTATCCGGTGCCAACCTTCGCGTGGGCGGCGGCCGCCAGTAGAGCTATTCCCAAAATCCAGCCTCGACCCGATATTGAGTGCATTAATGCAAGAAAAGTAAGAATGTGATTGAGCCATTGTCCTCCGCCAGGACCGCAGAAGACGACACAGAAGAAACGAAGCAGGCAAGAACATGAGGCTCAAAGAATTGACGTGAATAAAAAAAAAAAACGAAGAAAACACCCTAAAATACGGCGAAGCTATGGCGGACACTAGTCTGCCTCGTGGACGCTTGCTTCGCACGCTTGGATCAAAACGCCGAGAGCAAACTATTCCTTCTGGAAAGAACACACACACACACACACACACACACACACACACACACACACACATGGAAACGGGACAGCCGCTAGCTATCGAGGCCCACACTTGGGAAACATCGCCCAAGAACCCCGTGAGCCACAAGGGGAAAAAACAAAAATCCAGCTTTTCCAAGCGACAAAGAGGATACAGTGTTCAGACAGCCAGGATATCAGGCACAGTGCTGAAACGGGGTGCCTTCTGGCGGATGTCAGATGGGCCAAAGCAGTTTCGGGTCAGCCGATTGCACGAGCAGGCTTTTTAAGGCCTGCTAGGCTGTTGGCGCATTGAGAGAGTGCACGGCAGCAGGTTGACTCTATCGACGAAACAATGCTGGCGTGAGGGTTGACTGGGGGCTTGGCACGATCACCCAGAACTCAGAATGCAAGAGGGTAAGCGGCGATTTGGGCATTGCCGGTGCGCGCTTTTGTCGTGATACTCACATGGAGTTGATGTTGATGTTGTGATGGGTTGGTGCCGAGGCTTGAGAGTGTCTGCGCGGCCATGGCATCGTTCCTGGTGTATCAAGAGTCGAGAGCAGGATTGATGAGAAGTGAGGCCCAAGGGTAGCAAGACAGCATGTTTGGCAGAGCGTGTCAACAAACATGTTGCTCTGCTTATCGGGTTTGTCATCATCTTCGTCTGCAGTGGATCGGGCGTCAGTTTGAGAGTCAGCGGAGGGATCGCGTTGAGCCATATGAATTAGCTCATTCGTGTTGATCTACACCAGGGTTGGCAGAAGTGGTGAGAGATGCAGCTCCAAAAGAAAAGTACACACGGGCCAGTGCGTCCGCCAGGCGCAAGCTCGACATACGCGGTTGCAAGCGGCCATGAGGTCGGCGTTTTGGTCGCTCATGGCATTCTGGTCGCTCATGCTCATGTCGTGGTGCTGCGATGTGCCGATAGCGAAGAAAGAAATGAGAAAGAGCAACTCCATGCGCTGCTTGCTGTAATGGGTGCATGGGATGGCCAGCCACGGAGCAGGAATCTGTTTGCAAGTACGCACGGCTTTCTTGGCGGGAGGTCCGTAGGCCATGTCGGCGGCAGCAAGGACGAAACCGGCATTGGTGACACGTTGAGCAGCCGCGCTTGCGGCTTGGGAAAGGCCTTGGGTGGCAACGGACAATGTGGCTGGGGGATAACCAAACCCGACTGGTTGGGCTGGCATGGAAGCAGATGTGGCACTAGGGACGAAGGGCACTGAATAGGGGTGGCTGCGCGCCTCGGGTTGTTCCTTGGCAGCGTCGGCATCCGCCCTGGAATTGCGACGTTCAAGCAGCTAGCCATGTTTGGCAAGCAGCGGCAGAGAACCAGGCAGAACGTGGAAAGCGCGCAAGCGCACGCGTCAGTGTTGTGGCATGCAACGGGCCGAAGGAGTGCGCAGCCTGATTAGGGTGTCGGTCAGCAACGTGATCCACTCACTCGGCTCATGGTCAGCTGGGTGTGCTGCTCCGTGGGGGGATGGGGATCCGTCGCAAGGCGGCCAAGGGTATCGGCAATGTTGCCGCTGTGAAGCGAAAATACAAGAACGCCCGGGGGTGGATGGCAACGTGAAAAGCAGAAGCCAGTGGCTACGCTAGCAGGCCCGACAACGGCGCGGCGCGACGCACGTTGAATAGAGAAAGCTTCGGCCTTTCCAATCGTAAAGGATAAAGGCAACATCGCAGTCGCACAGAATGGCCAGCTCATGGATCTTCTTGAAAACGCCTTCCTTGCGCTTGGTGAAGGTCGCCTATGCCAAAGCCGTTGTGGCATCAGTTTGAAAGCCCTTCGCCTCTTCCGTTGAAAAGGCCGGTGTGCGGTAACTCGGGGAGGAAGAGCGAGAGACATACCTGGCGTTGATTGCCTTCACGAGGCTTGATTTCCAGTTTCTTGCGGCCCATGTTGTTGGCAGTTGGTACGATCCTTGTCTGCCATCATCGCGAGCCATTGACGCCCGTAAAGACAACACCCCATCAGTCCGTGACAACCCCCGCTCCTCGCCCAAAAGCCACCTCCCAACTCGTTCAACTCGCCACGCCAGCGCCCGTTCATGCCGATCACACACACGCACACACACACACGCGCGCGCGCGCGCTCTCTCTCTCTCTCTCTCTCTGTGCGTGTGGCCGGAGGTCAGCGCTCACTTCACTCACTCACTCACCGGAAAGCGGTGGATAAAGGGGGGTTTGTCGACAAAAAAAGCGCGGGAAGAGGGAAATAGACGATTCAGCAGGAAATAGCTGAGTGGGCTAAAAATAAAAACAAGAAAGAGCAAGCTAGAAGCGCTGCAGAAGCAGAAGGCTATTGTTTCGAGGGGAAAAACGGGGCGCTGATCATTCAACATTCGTCATCAGCTATAAATATTTGAATAGTTTATTTCGGGAAAACAGACCTTATTTTTAGTGCATTCCCCTTTTAATAAATACGGCCAAGTTTGGCTCGCTTGTCTCCAAGGAGGCCAACTTTGGTTATTCAATCACTTAAATTCCGAGGACCCCCGCTCCACAACGGCAGGCCGACTACACTATACTTTAGAGGGGTACGGTCCAGACTTGGCCCGCTTGAACGTTTTTGCGCTGAATTTTCATTTTCCTGCTCAACAACGCGTAGCTGAGACGGACCCCAAACGGAACTTGTACGGAATATTCATCGTGATTTATCGGATACCAAAAATACCAACTGCACACAGCGACGCCGTTTGAACCTGGCTCAACGTCTGATGCAGGCGATCCTGTGACCAGTGTTCGGATTACCCCCTTGAAACGCGATCTGGTTTTTGCGACGCCGCGACTAACAGCTGCAGCACCCTTCAAGATGCCCAAAGGCAAGCGTCGTGTTGATATCGAGTACCTGGAGAACGAACGTGCACGCCAGGTATGTATGTATACACGCGCGCACGGCACACCGGCGCTCCTCCATGTGCAATGTGGCATGGCCAAGGGGAACTCGAGCTTGGCCCAGGCTGCAGTGACAACGACCATTGATCCAATCGCTCACACCACGGCTGTGCGGACAGGTCACCCTGAACAAGCGCAAGTATGGTCTGTTCAAAAAGGCGCAGGAACTGGCCATCCTGTGCGGGTGTGAGATTGGCATTATCATTTACGACTGGAAGGACCGCAGCTACCTCTACTCGAGCAAGAGCATTAGTGACACGCTCACCCGCCTGGCCAAGGACCAGGCGGCACCCCTCGATGCCCACGACTCGGCAACCATGGCCAAGGTGAGGACACGGGAACAAACAACTTTTTTGGCACCTTGCGTGGCTCAGGGATGGGCCCCCACCACCCTTTGGCTTGTACTCACAACTGACCTGGTCCTCGCTTCTTGATGGCTCCTTGACCGGTGCACGCGCTTGCAGTTGATTGAGAAACGGGAGGGTGCGGTACGCAAAAGCAATGGCAAACGCTCGCACGACAACTCGGATGATGAAGATCTGGATGACAACCTGACGGTCGACACCTCAGTGCCCGCAAACCCGGAAGTGCAGCGTGCTGCCTTCTCGGCCGTCGAGCGTCTGGACAGCCATGGCAGCACGGCCAGCGGCGCCAGTCTGACCGTTCAAACCAACATACCTGATGCCACCATGAAGCAAGCCTCCATGCCCAAACCCCTCTCCGCCCTCAATGATTTTGCGTCCACCATTCAAATCAAGCAGCCCGTGACCAAGAAGCCAAAGAGTTTTCGCGAGGCCGACCTGCACCTTCCTCTGGGCCCCTCCACGGACAGTACTTTTCAGACGAATGCCAATACCTTTCCCAGCAATCCGGGGCTCCCGGACTACAATCTGTCAGTGTTTTCTTTTCTTTTCTTTTCTTTTCTTTCATTTTCCTTGGTTTTTTTTTTTTTTTTTTTTTTTTTTTTTTTTTTTTTTTTTGCTGATTTTTATGCCCTTGTATGCCAATTTTTCTCTTCTCCTTCTCTCGTTCGCATGCAGATGCACACTCACGCCTTGACCCTTGATTTTTGACCCTATCATGCAGCGCAACACCCCGTGCCGTCTTCAATTCGCCCAACTTTGCACATGGAGCCTTCTCCAGCGACTCGGCCGGTGACCTGCTCTTATCAACCTCCTTCTTGAGCACCCTGAACGTTGGCTTTACGCCTGAAGTCAACACTGACATCACCGCCTCGGCTACCAACCTCAAATCGGCTCAGCACAAACATCTTGAGGTAAGCCTCGTTGCTCCTCCGATTCGAGTCTGAACCGCTTGTTGTCAGTCTACGCCGCCTGCCCATTTTTTTAATCGCGCAAATGCTCTGCTTGGGTTGCAGTCGCAATTTGCCGGGGCTTTGAATTCGGCTGAAACAAAGCCTGGCGAAACAGGTGCCGCCACTGCCAACCTATCGCCAACTTCACTTGTACAGCTCAAAACGTGAGTGACCCCACTATCCGCCAGGTTACACGATCACATCCCCTCGATGGCCTTGCTTGAAGCATTTTTGTTTTTGTTTCTCTTTTTTGACATGGCTTCCCAACATTTTTAGGCCTGACATGATGAAGCTTAGGGAGGTGGTCAACACTTTGGACAGTACGCCCAGCCTCACCACACCCAATCTCTCTACACCCAACCTCTCTGGAATTTTGACTGGCCGAACCATCTCCGCCACGGACTTGGAAGGCATCGATGCTTTGGCCCGATTATCTTCAGGCGACACAGCTGAGCTTGCAGCCATCGCCACATCGCGTACAAATGCCCTGGCAAGGCAGCAAGACGCGGCCGAGACCAGCGACTGACCGCCTACACCCGTCCTCTCGCCCCTACTGTTTCTGCCCATGCCATGCCATCAACAGGCGGTGCTGTGCGCCACCCCCTCATTGCTCGAGACTGACTTGCTCAGACCTGGTGCTGAGTATCTTAGCTCCCCACTCGTCGCAAGAGTAACAACACAGAGTGTGAACCCAAACGGTTGAACCGCCACAACGAAAATATGCGAACAATCTTCATAATTGAACTTGTCATGTCAATCCAAGCCCTCCCTCTGACCTGCCCTTTGACCCTTCGACCCTAGCCCAATCCCTCGTGACTCATGAGGCAAACGTGGAAGAACAACGTCATTCATGAGGTTTCAATTCCTCGGCAACGCAAGATTGAAGACCTGCTCCCCGTGCTAAGCCCGAATGGCACGCACATTGACACATCTTGCGCTTTGCCTTTAAGATTCAGAGACCGATGGATTCGACGCTACAAACTGTTGCAGCACCTCGGCCACCTACACATACCAGCATGCCCATCGCCACCGCAAACGTGAACACGAGCGCATACTCCCGCCTTCGTGTAGCAAGGCCCAACCAGACACGACCAACACGGGAGGAAAAGCCACACCTGTTCGTCAATGCTATGTGATTGTTGGTGTAGAATGCATGTTGCTGTGTCTTGATATGCATCAATCTGCGCTGCCAGTGTTGCATGGATATCCTACCACACACCAGCGAGGTGTGATGCGCATGGACCAATGATTTTTGCGAATGGCCTCTTTGAGCATGCATTGGCTAGCAGTGCAGCAAAAGCGTGGATAGTACCCGCAGTTGGTCGGCAAAGGTCTGAGCTGTGGCGTTGAGTTGTTGTCCATCCCCTGCAAGCAAGGCCTGCGTCGTCGTTTCTGCGAGCCCCAGCAGCCCACAGATGCGCTGGTGTATCGCAACGCAGCTTGAGTAAGTGAAGCGCGGTGGCCACGACCAGGGCCACGACCAGGGCCACTTCATCCCAACGCACCTGCTGCACGGCATCAAAATCGGCGTCCACATCCCCCGTCACCGCAGTGACCGCAGGACCAGCCGTCTCCATCGCCATGCTGGGTCACTCATTCACCACCCCGACACCGCCACTGAAACTCTGAGATCGATAAAATCTTTGAGACCAAAAAAAAAAAAAAAAAATGAGTTGACAAGAGAAAAAAAGAGAGAAGAGAGATCAAGAAGAGATGAATAATTTTTTGGGTATTTTGACGGCATTTCTGAATGATTTTTGATGCGTCTGGACTGTTAATTTATTTTTCATATGCAATGGCAGCAATGGCTCTTGACGTTGCCTCGCTGACAAGACATGCCCACCCTCTGACTTTCAAAAGATCGCTTTGACACCCAGCGTGCCTACTCTCTCTTTTGACTTTTGACACGCCCGAAACATGGTCCTCCTTCACATCCATGCAAGAAATGCTGGGCACGCATGGTAAGCCTTGGGCAGGTACCCCGCCGTAGGAAGAAGCGCATTGTCGTGCTGTTCGGGGCTGGCCTTAAGAATGGCATCCAGACAAGGGTAGTGAAACCAGCATATGACATCAGACAGCAGGGGCAAGATGACAGCAGCCATCTGCTGCAGCTTGAACTGCTCCAGATACATGCATTCAAAGGTTTGCGCCACGATGGACAAAGCCATGCCGTCTTGGTTCACAACACGACTCCTCCTCCCGCCCTCCCTTCCCTGAATGTAAAAGTCTTTCACATCTATAGTCATCATCATGGCGGCGCACGCGGTCCCAAAACTTGGTAGCGACATTCTAACATCGCCTCAATTGTAAACTGTCACGAGACTCTATAATCCACCATCCGGGCACACGGGTCCACCTGCCTGTTACTCGGAGTAGTGTTGCAGGGTGAGACGTGGCACAATGTTCATGCTCTGCAACTCCTGAAACAGCAACTTGCAGGCATAGGGTAGCTGCAGCTTTGAAATGCCGCCTATGATGCACACCCCGACAAGTGAGCCACAGATCGAGTGTCGACACCAAGCCACCACATGCCGAGGGTAATGAAAGGGCCAAGGACGTACGGGATGATTTGCAATACTGGCACCAGCCGGCTGAGCCAAGCAGGCCACACTGGCTGCATGCATGCACCTCAAAGGCATCGGATGAAATCATCAGCCGCTCCAGCAGCAGCATGCTCGAGCCTATCAAAGTTCATATACACGTGAGCATCAGACAACACCCCAACAGCGCCGCGCTGCACAGTGCCAATCACAAACAAACCATGTCCAATGAGGCAATCACGCTCCATCTCGCCCAGGCGCAGACCACCCTCACGCGCTCGACCCTCGGTCGGCTGGCGCGTCAAGAGCGTCATGGGCCCCTGAGAACGCGCGTGCATCTACGCCGTCGCCGCCACACAATCACATATGAGCACCCACTCTAGATATCCTCTCATCTTCTTCAACGCACCCCAGCCCCCATGTGTACACGAATGGACGAAGCGCTTTATTCCCATCATACCTTGTCCATGACCATGTGCTTAAGCTTTTGGTAAAACACGGGGCCCATGAAAATATACGACTCCAAGGGCTCGCCAGTGATGCCCGAAGTTAAATAATCCTTGCCATGGTAGTTGTAGCCGTGCTTCAGCAGCGTCTGTTCAGAGTGTGCAAGAGGCAACCATTAGTTTCACACGGGCATATCAGTACAGCTCTCTCTCAGGCATGGGTCAAAGAAACGCCTCAACTCGACATGAGGAGCTTACGTTGCACATTTCCGGGATGGTCGTGCCGCCAAATGCCGTGCCGTAATTGTAGTTGCCATTGAGCACGCCCGCCTGCAATTTGTTTTGTCCCAAATGAGGAAACAAGAAAAAAAAAAAAAGAAAAAGAAAAAGAAAAAGAAAAGAGAAAGTCAAATGCAGAGCCAGCTCCAGCAAAAGCATGTTGCCAAAGAGGAGCTGCATACTTCTGCATAGACGCACCTTGGCACCGCAAAACTCCATGAGCTTGCCAACGGTCATGCGCGAGGGGAAACCGTGTGGGTTCATGATCTTGTCGGGGCACACGCCAGCATCGTTAAACGGCATATCCTCCTGGTTCACAATGAGACCGCAGACACCCTTTTGGCCGTGGCGAGATGAAAACTTGTCACCCAGCTCGGGAATACGCGTGCTTCGAACGCGAATCTACGTCAACACCCATCACAACAATGATGCCAAGTCTGAGCAAGGATCCGACCACGGGCCAGACCCAGACCCAATCTTTGCGCAAAACCACCCATCATACCTTGATCAGCATCGAGTCCTCGTTGTTGGATGAGACCATCACCTGGTCACAGTAGGCATCCTTGCCCACTGTGCCCTTGTATCGAACCTGAGTCGACGCGTAGTCAATCTCTGTACCGCGCTTGATCGGCGTCTGCTTGTTGACCAACACATCCTAAAGATATGAATCACGCAAAGATAAGTACCCAAACCATAGGCGAGCTCGCCAACTCGCCACGCACGCCACACGCCTGGCCCCTTTCACGACCGCCCAAACCGACGCACCCGATTATACATGGGCTGGCCAACGGCAACGATGCCTTCTCGGTCCAGACGGCGCATGTTGCCGGGCACCTAAAAAGAAGGTAGAGACGATGTGCAAGAAGAGGAAAAGCGGTTAGGGGTAGGAGCACGCACTTGACAAAATGAAAGAGAAATTGCATGTTTGTTGATGTCAAAGAGCGAGCACTTGCATTGCCGGCTTCATCGCGAGGGGCTGGGCGGATGATGTCTGTGAGGTTGCCGTTATACTTTTTCAAGCTCGTTTGCATCTTGGAGTACACGACGCAGCGGCCGTAGCCACGATCGAAGGATGCCTAGCGTGGTGCCAAACATGAGGTATGAGCGTTCGGCAGGTGACGTCATCAAAAAGCCATGTCTGCTCAAAGAAGCCTTCTTATTGTCTCCTGTAGCACAACACGTACCCGATTCATGACGGTGGCGTCCTCAATATCATATCCAGAGAAGGACATGACTGCAACAATTGGGTTCTGCAGGGAACAACGAAAAAAACACAAAACGTGCATCTGAGCAAACTGATGGTATGTAACGTGCCCTGCAGCTCATGTTTGATTTGGCTTTTCGGCTCGAGCCACGTCGCCGAGAGACGATAAGCAACTGACGGACCTGGCCAGCTGGCAGTTTTTCAAAGTCAATGAGCTCAATAGTGCGGGTCTTGACCACAGGCCGCATGGGGTAAACCAGGCTATATAGAAGAGTGTCAATGCTGTTGTAACGGGGCCAAAGAGTGGGGGTGCGCGTTAGCAAATGGTGGTCAAGTTCTGAGGCACCTGCAGCAACGCAGCAAGCATAGAGCATCGAGGGTCTCTAGCGGAAAGAACAATGCCAAACTCGGCCGTACCGTTGCTGGTAGTTGAGGGCGATCACGCCCATGGCTTGCTTGCCCATGGCACACTGGTAGGTATTGCGCGGCGACTGGTTGTGATTGGGATACGGAATCAAGCCTGCGCAGGCTCCCAGAATCGTAAAGGGCTCAATCTCCAGGTGAGTGGTATCGGCCTCGATGTTGTTCTCGTACAATGCCAGCAGCGAATCGTTCTCCTCGTTCACGTCCAGGTACTCAACCAGGCTATGGGCAAAAATAATTCAGCGACGCCGGTCAGCCGTCACCCTTTCGAGCCCAACGTTTGGTTTTGACAATCAGAGACAGCGACAGAGAGACAGAGACAGCGACAGAGAGACAGAGAGACAGAGAGACAGAGACACGGAGACACAGGGACACAGAGACACAGACACACAGAGACACAGACACACAGAGACACAGACACACAGAGACACAGACACACAGAGACACAGACACACAGACACACAGACACACAGAGACACAAACAAGGAAAAAAAAAAAAAAAAAAAAAAAAAAAAAAAAAAAAAAAAAAAAAAAAAAAAAAAAAAAAAAAAAGACCTTAAAACCACACGGGCCGGACACCACCGAACGTGTTTGATCCTAAAACTAACCCGTTGATGACAAAGTCGTCAAAGGTGGTGATGCCCATGTTCAGCTCTTCAAGATGGTGGGGCCGCACCTTGGACTTGCCGTTCTCAACAATGATATAAGGCCTAAGCATGGCACAAACAGTTAGCGCAGAGTGATGGTAGTGGCACGAAAGCCAAACTTTTCGCACTCTCGCCAACAGCTCAATATGGGCACACGCACCGGCAAGTGCGCCCGGCATCCGAGGCAATGTAGACGCATCGGTGTTTCTTGTTGAGAGAAATGGACACAAAAGGCGAAATGCGGCCGGAGCGCCGCAAAAGTCGAAAATTGCGGACCATGATGCGAGGCCTACAAGCAGACGAAAGGAAATATGAGCGCCAGCCTTTGCAACCAAGCAAAGAGGAACGGGACCATAGCCGTACCGGCGCGTCACGCCAAGCATGAGACCGTTGATGAAGACGAGAAAGGTGCTGCTGCGACCAAACTCTTCGCCATTGATCAAGTGCAAAGACTCGACACCCAGGTTGTATGCCAGTCTACAAGCCAGAAAATGCGAGAAGCAATGAATGGAAAAGGACGGAAAGGCCCTCAATGCGATGCAGCAAGCAGAGGCGGGCATTAAGCTACAAACTTGACGAGCGGCTCTTCCTCGTCATCATTGGTGACGTGGGTCATGAGGGCCAGGTTCTTGACCAGACCGCAGGCTTCGCCTTCGGGTGTATCTACACGATTCGAGCACCAAAAGCCATCTCGTCAACACACCCGCAAGACATCATATGGGCCAACTCAAATCCCGACAAACGAGCGGGCAATGCAGCACCCACGCACCTGCCGGACACAGCATGCCCCATTGGGAGGGCTGCAGCGAACGTGGGCCTGACACCTAAGATAGGTACAGCATGTTTGTTCGTTTAGAATTACCGATGTGTATGTAAAATGTAAAATAAGCACCGGCTTGTTGTAAGCCCCGGACCGGGCGTCATCTCAACCCATCAGACAAGCGACACGTCGTACCTTGCGTGTCTTTTCGAATTGCGAAGTGATACGCGTCATCATGCCCAGAGAGGCGATGAATGACAAACGGGAGAGAACCTAAATAAAAAAAAGAAAAACAAGATAGCAAGGCCCGGGTCAGACAGGCTCAGTCGCCTGGTCGGTTGTATGGCGACAATGTACATACTGAGGTAACACCGTGTCGCTCCATCTTGAAGCGCTTGAGAATCCAGTTGCCCGAGGAGATGGCATTGCGCAGGCTGTTGGTAATGATGTCTTCGCGCATAAAGTTGGTAGCGTCAAACGCAGCCACGCGATTCTTGCTGAGATTGACATCCGCCTGTCGCTTGAGCTGCATCAGGCCAACGGCAAATCATGTGGGGTGAACACGAAGCTGGTGGCATGAGTGGGTATTCAAGTGCGTTGGAATGCACATCGAGCCTCGCCTACCTGGGCGTTGAAGTTCTTGAAGGTGTCTTCAAAGAGGAGCGACATGAGGGATCCGGCCAATTCAAGGCGCTTGTTACCGAGATAGTCACGGTCATCGGTCATCTTGTCACCCATGGAGATGATGACGCGACGGACCATGAGGCTGAGAAAGACAGCCTTGGCGCGGAAATCAAAGTTCTCGCACTGTCGCGGGAGGTCATTGTGGGCGGGATACGGTCAAGCAGGATGGGGCCGGGGCCACGCGGGGGCAGCGGGTTAGCCAAGCGTGGTGGGGTGCATCAGGGGAGGCACCGCGCGAGCAAAGGTAGGCAACTACGTACAGGGACGTGCGCAAGAACGACAGACGAGAGAAGGTCGCGGCCCATGTCCTCCTTGGTGCGAGCTCCACCATAAGTGCGCAGCAGTTTGATCTTGCTCCCCAAGTAGGCCAGGGCTTGATTCTGCGTGAAAATATTGAGATTGGCACAACGCTCAACCGAGGGGCCGAGCACGAGCATCTAGAACAAGCAGGTAGAAAGTGGCGCCATGAGACCAAGGCTCATGCGGACCGACGCGTCCGCGCTCATAACGGGTTGAAGGTGCACATACTGCCTCTTCTTCGGCGCCAATCAGCTGCATGATTTCCTGATCGCTGATGACGCCCATGGCCTTGAGGACCACCACCAAAGGTACGGCCTCGGAGAGCGTGTTCACCTGGAAACATGATGGGTCTTGTGAGACAATGTGCGCCCACAACAGCCGTTTGATTCGCGGAGAAGGGGGTACGGCTGACCAGCATGTAGAATTGGTCGTTTTTGAAGATGATGGTCGTCTTGGTCTTGCGGTCGGCCGATGATGAGGTGACGGAGGCTGTCAGATCTCCCTTAAACTCTTCCACGATGATGCGGTTCTTGGAGAGCTGTTCCTGGATGAGGATGACCTTTTCGGTGCCGGAAACGACAAAATAGCCTCCAGGGTCGTGGGGGCATTCTCCATATTTGGCTTGCTTTGCGTGCGAGGCGCCGTTGAGCACGCAAAGGTTCGAGCGCAGCATAATGGGCATGCGTCCAATGCGCGTGTTCTCAACGCGCAGTGCTGTTGTTGGTACATGCAGAGATTGCGCATATGACCACAGGTGTGAGCATGGAGTGTGTGACGGGTGTGTGCTCGACAAGCAGGCGGTCATTTAGCAGCTGGAGACACCAAGGGCAGCACACCAAGCGGCGGGCAGAGCACTTACTCTCGTGACCTCGGCGGTACTCCAAATCAACAACAATGTCACCGGCATACGTGGCGCTGCGGAGTCGGCATTGCATTGGGGTGACGGTGTTGTTCGTCTTGAAGCCCTCATTGATGCTGGGGGGAAGCACGCGAATGTCCAAGTAGCGCACATAAAAGTTGGGATCGTTGTCTGACGTGACCTGTCAAAGACCCGCATCATTGATTTGACCAACCGTCATGAGGCGCGGCTCCAGCGAGTGAGCAGCTCTTGTGTGCGCGGGCAGGAAGAAAACGCGCATTCAGACCAACCTTGGCATTGGCTGCCAGGATTTTTTTGATATCCACCTCGATAAAGTGGTTGAAAGACTCAATGTGCTGTCGCACCAGGCCTGCACATGTTGCGGGGTGAGACTGAGCAGGAGCCTTGGCGAGACCCTGCGGGGGTGCCGGAGCCAGCCAAGATGGGAGCGGGCTGACCTTTCATCTTGAGAAAGGCAGGCAGAAGCTTCCACTTCTCCTCGAGGGTGGCCACGGGCTTCATGAGTTCCTCCCGTGACTGGCCCTTCATGAGCTGGTCTGCCACCTCGCTCACGCTCATGGTGGTGGGATCCATCTGCCCAGCGGTCTTCTTCATCTTGAACGGTGACGGCGGCAGAGTGCCTCCACCTCAGTCTGACTAGGTGACTAGGGAAGGGTTGGAGCTGGCAGCAAACAGGCCCACGGGCCACCAAGCGCACCCTCAGTCTCCGCAGCTAAAGGGGCAAACAGGAAGATGAATGCACGTGGCTCAAAGGACCACACAGTCGGCCCAGTTCCGGGCTCTGGCTGCCGTTTGCGACGAGCACTCGCAAAGCACAAAAAATACGAGAAAATTACGACCAGCGAGCACCTTGAACCTCTTGGCTGCTCTCTGGTCGTGTGAGGGTGGTCATGCCGCATCTCTGAACCTGCTTGTCTTTTCTTCTATTTTTCATACTCAAGCCGTTGAGGCCAAGCTTCATCTCTAAACCTCACTCGTGCGCAAGCCTCCTCTCTGGTCCCTGCTGTCACGTTGGGCTCTTCGAGAGAGAGAGAGAGAGAGAGAGAGAGAGAGAGAGAGAGAGAGAGAGAGAGAGAGAGAGAGAGAGAGAGAGAGATTGAAAAGAGAGCGAGAGAGAGGCATTTCCCATTGCATGTCAGGTACGGTACGCGTTGCAGGCGGGGCATGGGTCGGGTCACTGGGGACAGGCGGGGGTGGGATGGCGGTTTGACATGAGGACCTGGCTAATGTGGCTGGGTTGATTCGATTCATGTGCCCTCTGGCTTCACTTTGACTCAATTTTGAATTGGAATGGTGGTTCGTTGTTTGGGACTCGGACGCTGGGCGTTTCAGACTCGAGGACGACGACTTGGCTCACATTGTTAAAGAAGCGTTCAAGATGGCGTTGTTGTTGGAAGTGGCCAAGTTGGGTGGGTGACTCTGATCTTGTTGCCCGTTCAAGGGATGGACCGCCGCCTAACCTCTTGCCTGTTGCCAGCCTTGATCCTGCTCAAGGCTCCGTTTTATCAGCTGCGGCGGGCTGCCTCCTTGTTCTACTGGCCCCAGAAGGACCTGGCCAACGAAATTGTTTTCCTGACGGGCGGTGCTTCTGGGATCGGCAAGGTATTTGGTGCCCTTCTGGTCCACACAGGCTCGCTGTTGCCTGCGTATCCTTTGTCACATACCTGTTGCAAACTGTGCTATTCGAATCAGGGCATGGCCATCAAGCTGGCTGAGCTGGGGGCTCGTATTATCATCTGCGATCTTAACGAGCGTGCTGCCCAAGCCTGTGCGTTGCTCGAGCCATGCCGCTGCTGCTGGCGTGGAAGTTTCGCTTTAAAGACCTCTCACCGCCTTGGCATCTTCTTGCATGCATTGCTTGATCAGGTGCCGAAGGCATCAACCGTTCTGGCTTGGCTGGTCGTGCCTGGGGCTTTGGCTGTGATGTATCGGATCGTGATGCCGTCTACGCGCTTGCCGACAAGGTTCGCGGCGAGATTGGCGAGGTCACGATGCTCATCAATAACGCTGGCATTGTCTCGGGCAAAAAACTCCTGGAGGCCGACGATGCTCTAATGGAGAAAGTGGTGCAGGTCAGGGCCAATGTATTCAGCCGAGCGGCATCTCGGATATCTTTTTTTTCCCACCCCCTCTCTTGTTCAATCCTCGGGCGCTCGCTCGCCACATTTCATCAGATTCTCACAGCTACCATATCCCATGCTGACAGGTCAACACAATCGCCCACTTTTGGACACTCAAGGCGTTTCTGCCAAGCATGCTGGCGAAGAACCATGGCCACATTGTCAACATTGCCTCCTCCGCTGGCAAGGTGCTAACGGGATGGTGTTCTGTTTCTTTCGTCGAATGGGATTGTCGTACTTGCTTTGATCTGCGTCTCGACTCTCTCTAATCTGCGTCTCGACTCTCTTCTCTCTATCTCTCTCTCTCTCTTTGATAGTTTGGTGTCGCTGGACTCGTCGATTATTGCGCCAGCAAGTATGGTGCCGTGGGCACGCACGAAGCCCTCCGAGCCGATCTGCGCAAGCTCAATGCGACTGGCGTGCACACAACCGTCATCTGCCCGGTGCGACGTTGCTCCGTCGTCCCAGCCGTGTTTCTTCTCCTCAGTCAAGCAAAACTGTCGCCGATGATAAAGGGCAGAAATAAGATTAGCAACAGCCGGCAGTTGATTTCTAACCCCCTTTCTTTGTAATTATAGTACTTTATCGATACTGGCATGTTTGATGGCGCTCAAACCCGGTACGTCGATGGTCAGCCAAGTCCATAACTCGACCACATTCGGGCTGGCATGTCAGGCTTTTTGCACATCGACTGATAGACGCTCTGAATTTGACGACACTTCTGGCAGGTACCCATGGTTTCTGCCTATTCTGAAGCCGGATTACGTGGTCGACAAGATTATTTTTGCCATTCGCACAAATCAGGTTTGATACCACAAATCCCAGCTCGTTGTTGGTGCTTGTGAATGCCTTGAGCCCGGGTTGGCTTGGCTGTTGCGTCAACGACTCACCAGGGAAACGCGTGGGCCAGGCTTGCATTTTAATGCCACGCTTCTTGATTCTGGCCGATCTCCTCCGTGCCGTGTTCCCGCCCGAGACGCAAGAGGAGGTTGCCGAGTGGTTTGGTGTCAAGTACGTGGGCCATCTTTGGGCACTGGGTGTAAGAGATAGCTGATGTTTGCGCACGGTCTTACCTCTGTTGCGCTTATCACGATCAACGCAGCGAGGCCATGGATGACTTCCGTGGACGTGCCAAGCAGGACTAAGCTCATGCAACAAACACCGACCATGTGAGCCATACTCCCCGAGTGTCCGTGAGCCGGTGCAAGCGCCGCGCCCTCGCGTTCATGTTTTTTTCTTCATGTCTTTGTGTGCAAGTATCTGGACAAGATCCTCCGCTTCTATGCGACATTGCTGCCATCGATGACCAGATTTGACATTGGCCCATGGCATGATCAAATTGTGATGAGACAATGGAGAGCACAGCTAAGCAGGGACGGTGACATGTCAAGTAGCCTATTCAATTTGTCAAAATTTGAAAATAATCAGGTAGCTCGACCTGAGGACCAAAGAATCTGAAAGAGTCGAAGACAGCAAACGGGGGATGAACATGAAATACCTAAAATGGCACGGCCTCAGAGCAAAGACTAAGCCAAGGGCCGCCCCAACGACGTGCCGCAAAGCACGAACAATGCATACACGCGTATACCGGCAGGCGCAAACAACATTGGTGCAAATCACCAAAAAGAAAAAAAGGAAAGAAGTTGAACGCCACCCGAGCACAAAACCAAACAGTCGTTGCAGAAGCCTGGGTCACCTTGTCACGAACTGCTGAGCTTGATGAGAGCACGGCGGACGCGGAAGGCCGAGATCCACCATCAGGACCACGGGCAGGAGGTTGCTCATCGGCTCGATCTTGTGAAAGTCGTTTCATCGCCAAATTGGCCAGTGTGTGCAGGGCCGAGTCTGATGATGATTGCGTCGCTGCTGAAGATCCATCTTCTTCCTCTCCGTGCTTTGTGACTTCTTTATCAAGGGTGGTGCTTGGTAGCACGGCAGGGGAGGTAGCGGGTTTTGAGTGTTGTGCACCAGCCTTGCTCGTCGCTAGGCGGTGTGCAGGTTCAACACGCATGGATTCGGATGGGACAAAGCGCCTGCTCGCAGGCTTGCTTGGCAGATCCCGAGCATTGGCTGATGATGGGGCGCTAGGATGGCTAGGGGCGCTGGGTGAACTGCCCGTGTGCGAGGTTGTCAAAAGTTTCAAGTTTGACTTTTGAATGGCAGAAGCAATGAGGGAGCTATCCAAGAGTGGGCCGCACGGCGGAGTTTCTGATCCGGATCGCAGTGCCGGGCTTGCGGGGGAAGACACGGGTGAATCCAGACCCGTCGTCTCCATGGCGTCAAGCACCTCTGTTGTCACGTATGGCGTGCGTGAGGATATGCGCGTGCGTGGCAGCTTCTAGGCGGCGTGGAAATCAAGGGCCAATGGACGTACGATTCGGGCAGATGCGAAAGCCAACGCGCGTAGTCAGATCTGTACAGGAGCGACGGGTACAACATGGTCAGTCAGCATGGCACATGGGCGTCAAGAGGAACGACACTGTCGGCGGGCAGCTGGCGTGGACAGAGGGCGCGCAAGAGTCGACTGTTGCATAAAGACCGGGTCAGGAGTGGTACCTTTGAGTTTCTTGGCGGGAAACGGGGCACGCTTCTTGAAGCAAGCCTGCAAGACCTTGATCCAGACGCCGATGGCACGGGCTTCCAGCTGTTGAATTTGGCCACATAAGCGGTCATTCCAAGGGCAAAAAAACAAACAAAAACAGCCATGCAGAAGGGTGCGGCACGTACCGGCTCGGCAATACGAATGACAGATTTGCCAGGCATGCTGATGGGAGCAGGCATGCCCTTTTTCCAAGAGTGTTCGATGGGGCAGGGCACGACGGGTCCCGAGTAATGGGCGCCAGGGACCTCAACGCCTTTGGTGGAGTCTTCGGTGGGATCGACGCTGCGCGTGACAATTTTGTTTCGGTACATGGCAAAGGCAATGGTGTGTTTGGGTTCTCGGGGCTCAAAGCGCCACTGGAATGACGCAAAGCCTGGGGACATGGAGTGGCTCATGTCCGCGTCACCATAGAGGTGTAAGTGAAAATGGCCCTGAGCATCTTGTTCGCAAGCAATGCCGGCAATTTTGTGATGATCCAGCGCATCGATGACCTTGCGCTCATCCAAGGTGAAAAGGGTTGGGAAGACGGCAGTGAGGATACGCTCTGACTTGCGGCCAGCGATCAGAGGGAGGGCGTAGCGGGCAAAGGCGAGTTTGAACAAAAAATCCAGGTGATCCAGCACATCGGCCTCGGCATTCTGAAGGAGCAAACTGCGTCCCGTCGGTGGACCTGGGAGAGGCTTGGCTTGTTCTGGAAAAAGAGGATAGCCGGGGGAGGGCAAGGCCGAGCAAGAAGACGCGGTCCCAGGTCAGGTGGTGGTATGGCACTTGATTGGATAGTGCAATGTGTGCATGATTTGTCGGGGAGGTGGGCACCATGTCCGTACTTGTAGGCGGTTGACCATCGGGTTGGGCCGATGCAGAATGGCGCGCCGCCATTGTTGAGGCGGTTGAAGCAAGCGGGGCGTGTAGATGACGGCGGTGATTCAACTACACACGGGTGGCCTAGCAGCGATCACTCATAACGCCTGGGTCATAGAAACATGTGCATGTGCAGTTGATGACCACGTTAGCGGGGACGCAACATGACACAGAGCCCTCTAGGGAGGGCCGGTTAACGCGACATGGCCTGACGAAGAAGAAAACATGCTTTGAATGCTGGCAACTGGGTTCATCTGCCTTACCGGTACCAGTCTGCAAGAAGAGAATGCTATTCCGAAGTGCCAAGGGAAGGGGCGGGGACCAATGCTGGGCGAAGGAGGGCAGCCCCTTTTGCTGTGACGGCGGCTGTGGATGGCGATGCTGACGATGAAGATGCCGCTGCAATCTACTGGCTGCCCTTCTTGTCCTCTGGGTCTTCCTAACACGCCCCATGCCGGCGACACAACCAACACGTGTGAGACCACCGCCGTATCAAGCCAGTTGCATCCAAACGCAATCGACCCGCCGTCTGCTTGTTATCCCATCGCGCCAAGTGCCTCAAATCAACTGTCAAAGCCAATCAAATGCCCACACAGTTCCAATCTCAACCCCCGCTGCCACTGCTGCTGGCTGTCCCCGCCGTATCCGCCGCCGCCAAGGCGAGCCCGCTCACACACTCACATGCAACAAAAAAAAAAAAAAAAAAGAACAGAGGAAGAAGTGGAAGAGAGAGAGCTTGAGAGAGAGAGAGAGAGGGAGAGCGAGAGCGAGGGAGAGAGCTTGAGAGAGTTTTAGTTGAGAGAGAGAAAGAGAGAGAGAGAGCGAGAGAGTTTTGAGAGAGAAGGTTTCTGAGATGTGTGTGCTGCACATGTACACGAGGCAGTTTTCCTGATGATGCCAATAATTGTGCACGCGCACCCCTGGCACATGGGTGGTGGCGGGGAGTGTGACGTGTGGTACACTTGGTGGCTAACGACCGTATCTATACAATTTGGAGGGGGATGTTGATTCAAGGCGTCATCTGCTCTGCTGCTGCTGCTGCTGCTGCTGCTGCTGCTGCTGCTGCTGCTGCTGCTGCTGCTTCTGGGGCTTAAGATGAGGCCGGTGCTGTGGCGGCGGCAAAGGCTTGGTTGATCAAGGTCTGGCCCAGGTATTGACCTGCCATGTTCTGAAGCTTTTTGGCAGCGTCCTTTTGACACTTGGTGTACCCCACCACATTAGAGGTGTTGAGGCTAATGGCTACCACACACACGAGCTACGGCCGCGGGATCCATTACGACACGATCAGCAAGCAATAGAAAAAAGGGGCAAGCAGCAGCAAAAAGACAGACAAGAAAAAAAGGGTGAGGTTGGTGGAGGGTGAGGTTGGTGGAGGGCGCTGGCGGGTCGCAGAGATGTACAGAGGCAGGCATGGGCAAGAGATGGCCATCGCAATATCATCTTGATCGGTCAGGGTGGTCGGGGCCACGCACCAAGTAAGAGATCTTGAGACGGATAAGGGCAAAGAGTGCCAGAATGCTCCAGGCAACCGTAAAGCCGTAGAGGGACCACCAGAAGAGCCGTGATTCTGAAGCTTGAGGTTTGAAATGCTGCGTTGGTCGCATGTTGGTCGAGATGTGGGGCAAGGTCCGTGAGGGAGCTGCGTGGCTCGGGAAAGGTCTTGGCAGAGCAAAGCGCAAGCGGTGTCGGCAACAACTGCACCTTGTTGGATTCAAAGCGCCACTGCGAGGCTCCTTGCTCATCAATCTATCATGTCCAGGCCAGAAGAAGACGCGTGAGGGAACAAGGTATGTGTGCGTGTGCGTGTGGTGGGTGCGGTGTCGGTTGGCAGCTGGGATATCCTCAGATACAAGCAGGGAGGGTCTGCCGGAAAGGCAAAAGGTGCGAGGCGCCACCAGACCTGATTCCACCAGCGTAAGCCCACCAAGAGGCGGCCCGTGACGTTCTTCACAGTCCAGAAATCAATGGCCAACAACATCACACACGCAATAAAGTTGATGGTGAAGGAACTGGAAAAGGCCGTACAAAAAATATAGGTCAGTAGAGCTGCCGTGCGAAACAGCATGTGGGCCAACACCGTCCGTGGATT